GTGTGTGTGGTATCGCAAGTTGTTGACTTCTACTGACCTCTGTGTTGACTCCGACTCGTCTGTTGCTCGGGTCTTTTTTTCAATATTTTTGAATGTTGGGAGTACTCTTAAATGGTTTTGGTGATTTTTTTTCATCAAATAGTCTAAAAGTTTGTTAACGCACATTTTTGATTATTCTCGGTTTGCCTTTTTATTTTTTTAGTTCACTTCTTTGTTTAAAGGAATGCAAACTCCGCTATCGAACAGCAAAAATGTAAAGGTCTCAAAAATCGTGATCGACTTCTAATTTCGAAAATGGAATCTGATAATCAGATTTCCCCAGCGAAATGAAAATCTTACTTTTGATCCAGTTTTAGCAAAATGGGTTAATATTATCAAGAAAGCACCAATCATTTATTGTTACTGAAATTCAAAGAGCTTTAAGAGAATATACTTTTTCTTTGAATTTTCAAGTTAAAGTTTTTGAAAAATTTTTGTGGTTTTTTTGTCACTTTTCTCAGTGGAATAAAAAAATTATCTATTGATACAGTTTTCTCCAATTGTGATAATTCTATCAAAAATTTGCCACTCATGAATTATTCTTGAAATTCGAAAGTTGAAGTTTTTTCAAAAACATTCTGTTTTTTACAGTATTTTTTTGTTCCCTTAGTTTGATTTTCAATTGATTCGTATGCTCTCCAATAATACTTAAGAAAATATACTCTCCAAAAACAAAAACGTAAATGATGCGAGTAAACTTGATTAACTTGACTTTAAGTTTCGCAAGTGGATTTCTAATTTTAAATTTCTCCGCTGAGTATAAAATTACCCATTAACCCTGTTTCCTCAAATTTGGCTAGTTTTATGAATTCAAGTGTTCTGATGCTTATTTGATTTTCGCTTCAACAAAATTTGTTTTTCATTCGAGAAATTGGATTCAATTTTCTCAAGTTAGGTTACTGTTCATTTTTACAACGTGTCAATAAAATGTTCTGGATTTATAAAAAGTTTGACATTGAAGCTCGAGGAAAATTTAAACAGCTTTGTCCACAGCATCTTCACTTCTAGAGAGGATCTTCACTTCTAGATGATCTTTCATCTGACATTCTCAATTTCTTGAGAAATCAATTAAGAGTATCACTCAGCTAGTGAATAGTTCAGGCCCTTTTCAGGTTGTAATTTTTTTTATAAATGTCTAAATTTTTTTGGTTTCCCGGTTTTTATCCTAGCTAGTCAGTTAAATTTTTTTTAAACGCCATTTTTCAAATGTTTACGGGGAAAAGCCTAGTAGCCGATTGCAATACCCTTGCTTATCGCAATGTTAATCAAAGTTGTAAAAACGTAACGAACCATAAATGACAGTTTCCTCGGGCTTCATCTGAATCAATGTAAAGCTTTTTGGAATTTCACTCGGCTTGGACGCTCGAAACATATAATATTTTTCCCTTATTCAAGTCTCCACTTATCCCTATTCAAGAGAAGGCAGAAGAGTGCCGGTCCACATTCAGTCTAAGATGGGTGACGAATTAAAGAAGTTTATTTGGGAAGGTCTTTTAGTCAAGTTGAAGTGTACAAGCGATCACTTCAGTATCGCCAATGTCATCACTGCCAAGAAAATTTTTTCATGACATTGGCTAGGGTTGCGCAACCCATGAAGGACAATTAATTTTTTAGGTTATTGAGCTTATTGTTACTTTTTGTCGACATAGTGACCAAAGCACTAATTTTTGAGTAATGAACGTAGTAAGTACTCTTATATAGGTCTTAGTGTTTTTTGTTTGTTTTTTTTTAAGGAAAAGTCTCAAATTTTGTTCACTTTTGACTTTTGACTTTTGATTTCTTTTAAGTTCAGTTTATTTCTTTTGTTAAAAGGAAGGCAAACTCTACTATCGAACAGCGAAAGTGTAAAGGCCATGAAAAACGCGATCAACTTCTCATTTCGAAACATGAATTTTTTAATCAAATTTCCCAGCTTTTTTTTTAGTTTCCTTGCGTTCATTACTTTTTTCCAACTGTCAGTTGGCTATATTTTGATTTCTTGAGCGTTTTTTTTTCTAAACTTCAAGAATTGTACTGAAAAATGCCCTCTTTATCTGAAATTTTGGGTTCAATTCAAAGCACGGGTTGCTGGAAAATTGTTTGCATACGCGACCTCGTCCAAAATTTTTGGCATAAAAAGTATGGCCCTCGAAAACGTCTAAATTTTGTTTTTTGATAGTTTTTTTGAGTTTTTTTGACTTTTCTCGAGAACTACTCTCGGTTTTTAGGCTCAAGTTAGGTTTTTGATTTCAGACAAAATTACAGTTCGGGTGAATTGTTTTTGCATAAGTGTCTACGCCCAATTTTTTTAAAACAAAAAAGCTATGATTCTTGGCTTTCTTATTTATTGACCGTTTTTTGATTTTTTCTCGAATACTATTATGGACAAATCTGATATCAGAGATTAAATCAATACAGCAGATTCTTGACAGGTACTCATTATTGTTTGCTCTGCCTTTTTTTCAAAAAAAGTGCTCGTCTTCAAACAAGGCAACGATTTGAATCTTTGACCGTTTTTAGAAACTTTTTGACTTTACTCGAAACTACCGTGATAATTCTCAATTTCAATTGAGGAAATTTTCAATCGAGGAACCTGGTTTTGGAAATTTCCTCTGCTTTAACGACCACTGCCAGCTTTGTGTAGAAAAAAATTGTGGATTTCGAAAAGTCAAGTTTTTGAGCTTTTGACCGTTTTTTAAAAATAGTTTACACTTGCGAGCAGCTAGTGTATTACTGCGAACCTTTTTTTCTAAGCTAATTCGCAAGTTAAAGTTTTGCTTGAAAGTGTATCTTGTTTAAGAGTAAAGAACGTATTGAGCGCTCTTATATGAGTCTTGCAATTTTTTTTTCAGGAAAAATTAAAATTGGTTCACGCTCAATTTTAATTTTTCGCGGTTTGAATTCTGATTCCTTTTCAATTTCTGTTCATTTTCATTCTTAAAAGGAAGGCAAATTTCACTATCGAAGCGCAACAGTGTGAAGGCCATGAAAAACGCGATCAACTTTTAATTTCGAAAATGGAATATATTAATCAGATTTCCCAACGAAATGAAAATCTTACTTTGTTCATCTTAGTGGCCTTTGTTTCATTTTCTGTATGCTAGCTTGCAATGCTATGTCAGATTGAGTAATTTTTATCAAGAGAGCACCAATCGTAAATTGCTATTGAAACTCAAAATTTTTCAGCCAGTTTTTTTTGTTTCTTTGCGTTCATTTTTCTTTTCCAACTATCAGTAGGCTATGTTCTAAATTGAAGCATTTTTGCTTCTGATAGAATCTCTTTTCGGTATATTCATAATGGTGCAGGAATTAGTTGTTGTTTTTCCGGAAGTAACAAATTTTTTACATCTCTGTTCATGTATTTATGCCAAACACACTTATTGAATATTCCTAATGCGGTTGGTAATTCGTTCATTTTCATTGATGTGTTTTGACATCAATTATTCTTCGTTATTTTTTCTTTAAGGTTAAGTCTGAAATGGGTCTATTGAGGGTCCGTTATCTCTTTCATCAATTGCTCAATATCAGCAAGTGTGATTTTTTTTGTGATTCTACTAGGGTTACGGATAGAAAATAGAATTTTATTTTTTTTCGTGCTTTTTGTTTAATGATTTTTTCTAAAACTTTAAAAAAGAGAGAGATTTTCTTGCAATATCTGGGCTGAAAATGGCTTCAAATCCCACTTTCAAGTTCAAGGAATTAAAATTTATACTTGCATTTATTAAATTGATCCGTCATTTCAACATCATTTAAAACAAAACTAGAAGCGATTTTTTCAGTTATCGTTAAAAATTTCTTGATAACGTCCGTTTTAGTCTCGCTTGCTTATAGTTTATCGGAGTAGTGTCCTTCCTCACGTTGCGTCGTTTGATGGGCAGAAAAAGCTTCATATTCGTGTTTGTGTGTTGAGGGGACTTAAAAACGTTTATCAGGTTTTATGTTTTTTATGCGGCTCACATTAATCTCAGGCAAATCGGGACAAACATGGGAAATTTGTTATATCTAGTTTTTTTTTAGATATTGTAGAAAGTTTTAGACTTCGGCTCATTTTCGAAGCTCCCCTTCGTATCTGTGCAAGGAACTTGCAAAAAGAGAAAACTCAATTTTGTCAGGATTGAAGTTGATTTACTGCATTTTTTGTAGATTTCTAAGTTTTATTCTGGTTTCTTGAAAGCTTCACCCAAATCTTAAGGCTCCGCTTCACTCTTTGCTAGAGTGGTGCACATGATAATACCTCATGAAATTAAAATAAGTTGACATTGTTTTGATTTGCTTTTTGAAACCAGAATGTTAAAAAAACAGTTGTCTTTTTTATTTGATCCGGTGATTTCCCTGCGTATTTTGAACTGCCTGTTGACTGTTTAATTATTAGGAATTGAATATATCAATTAGATTGCTATTCCGTGACACCGAGTTGAACTCAGATCCTATCTTCAAGCCTATCAAGTTTTGGCCAATCAGCCCGGAACGTTCTAGTGATTTATGTGAGCTTAGCTTGGTATGGCTTTGAAATGTTGGATGCGCACAGCTCACCTTCTATGTTGTTCGAGCACATAGGACGTAGTGCTGGAAATTTCTGCGAAATTGGGCTGTGAAGTTTGCTACTAGGATCGTTCTTTAATGGATTTCAGATTTTTTAAATACGGTTTTACGCAAGTTTTTCTTTGAACTGGTTGAAAAATGTAATTATGATAAAAGAATGCGCCGACTGGAAAACTTGTATAGCCCAGTGCGATCTCCAGAATCGCATGTATGTAAAATGCATAGCTGAATAATTTTTTCCTGCTGGAAGGCGGCTTGTTCTTTCGGCTGAAATTTTCGAAGACCACTTTTCAGCGACAATACAGGTGAATGACTACCGAGACGATGTTATCACATAGTTTTATTACTGTACGTAGTTTGTTTTCTGTAGAATCTTTTCCTTAATTTTTTTTCTGTCGTGAGTTTTAACCAAAAACTGAGTTTTTTCATGTTCTCTTTAGAGCTGGCTCACTTGTCGTGGGAGAGAATGAAAATTTGGAGTTCCTGGGGTTAGCTTCGCTGAAGACTGTGACGAAACTTCCGAAAGGCAACACAATCACGATACGAGGCGATAAGCTTTGCTATATCAATGAGTTCATGATCAGAGACTTGATTGATCCGCCACCCGACAACTTCACCTTCGAATTGGGCTATGTTATGAAATCTGACCAATGCAGTGAGTAATATTTTATGTGCTACAAATTTACGGAGATTACTTTTGCTGACAACAAAAATTTCGAAAAAATAATCTTTCTCAGTATTATACAAGTTTCTGAAAAAATTTCTGTTTGATTTCAAAAAATACTAATATGGGGAGACTATTCACTCCTTTGTGCTGATTTAGTCGACAGATAAATTATAATGCATTCACGCCTCCCCTCTCCCCGGATAACAAAAAGTTCTATCATTGTCGAGAAAAACTGGGCTGAATATTTTCAGTTTACAGACTAAATTAAAGAAAAACGATAAGAGACTGACCTATCCACTGCCTTTTTTAACGTTATTTTACCATCATGGTTTTAACTTCATTTTAGAGATTATTGTGTTATTCTTGAATTTTTTTAAAATCTAATTTAGTTGCCCTTTGATAACAAAACACCAGGAAAAATATAAAACATGGAAAATGTTCCGAGAAAACGTTTTGTCGATGTTTTTAAGAGTCGATGAGCTTAGTTCAGACGCTTAGATAGGTGCTATTTATTCTGTTTTTTTTTAATTCAGGGAAAATCTTAAGTTTGTCTTCAGCGGTTTGAGTTTTTTGCAAGTGCATTTCACAAAAGGCAGGCAAACTTCGCTATGAATCATCAAAAGTGTATCGATAACGAAGTTCAAAATTGCATGTAAGTTTTCAGATTTCCCAGCGCAATTAAAAACTTAATGTTTGATCCAATTTTCTCAAATTAGGTAAATTTCAGCTAAAAGTGCATATCACAATTTCTTGAAACTCAAAGAGCTGTAAGTTCATTTTCTTTGAAAGTTTCTTTCAAAAACAAATCGTTTTTGTTTAATTCATTGACTTTTTCCGACTTTCTGTTGGTTATTTTCATATTTTTTCAAGTTTGAATTTCTTTGAAAAATTTGTTCAGTTTTTTTTTCTTGTACTGTGAATCTTCATATTTTGTGGGAATATGTTTCATAATTTTTCGGCCAGTTTTTCAACTTTTTGGAAATACCAGCTACTGAATGGAAAGACCGGCTACGGTCTTCGAATTTTTCAGTGGGGGGATTTTAAGAACCATTTTTTTTTGGGTTTTTCCTTGTCTGGAAAAAGAAATCTGATAATAATGATCCAATCGAAAGAGCATGTTACTGCAATGTCCCATGCATAAGCCGCTGCACCTGGCTTTTGAACAAAAAGTTATGGCCTTAGAATTAAGCCATTGTTTTGAATTTTTTACCGTTTTTAGAACTTTTCTCAAAAAGAACCGTGTAGTATTTCAGATTAACTGGCAAATCGAAAGAACAGGTAATAGGAATTTTTCCTGCGTAATCGGAAACGCCTTAATTATTGTAGAAAAAGTATATCATCTGGAAAAGGTCATTTTTTGACGTTTTGGTCGTTTTTGTGATAATTTTACTTTTATCGCAAACTACCGTCTCAAATCTGGTTTTATGGGTTCAATCGGAAAAAAGTAGTAGGGATATTTTCTACAGAAGACGCTACTCCTAATTATTTTGAAAACAGTTATGATCTTACAAATAAAATTCTTCTTTTTTTGAAATTTTACTAGTTTTCGTTGATCTTACAAAAAAAAATTTTTATTTTATTTTACTAGTTTTCGTGAATGTGTTTATTTTTCTTAAAACCTACCCTCCTACATCTAGGAAGTTCAATCAAAACAACAAGCTGTGGGATTTTTTGCAAAAGCGGCTCAGCCATAGTTTTTATGGAAAAAAGTTATGACCATTAAAAAAAGCAATTTTTTGACACTACGATAATTTTGAAGAATCAGTTTCGAGTTTATCGAAAACTACCCGCTTAAATCTGGGGTTAAGACTTCAATCGAATTAAAAGGTTTTACGAGTTTTTCGTGCACATTCTGCTACTCCCTAATTTGGCCGGGGAGTCCACTATGAACTTGGCAAGAGTCCTTTTTTCACTTTTTTTGTGAAACCTTTTCTCAGCCAAATCTGAGATTGAGATTACATCAGAAAAAAAAGCTAATTGTAGGATATTACCCCAACAAAAAAGCGGCCAAGTTCTTTAGTAGAGAAACCACCCAAATTTGAAATAATTGTAATTATAGTGTTTGTAAATGTGTTTTAGCAAAAATTTGGTACTGAAAAAGCGACAAATTGGACGATTGAATTATTTTTTTTTCCAGTAAAGCTGTTTTTTTTGTGAGGCTGATAATTGTTACAGCTGGTTTTGAGAAAAACCAAAATTAGTTAAATTGAAAATATCAATTAGTTAATAGTTGAGCCTTTTGAATTTTGCATCATGTTTCACAGCTAAAATTTGCTGTTGCATCTTGCATATTAAATGAAAGTCGCGGTCCAGCGCAACGTTTAAGACGTCGCTCTCTGTTAAGCTTGAGAAAATAATCTATTTCGGAATATTCTAGAATTTTTTGTCGAGATCCAGTTGAATAAATTTCCAAGATTAGACAGTACGTGCGATTTTTTGAAATTTTCGTCAGTATGAAGTGGAAGCGATTTCGAAGCTAGACAGATTTTTTTTTGCATGGTATCATTTCTAAAGCTAGCTAATTAAAACCAACAACTTATCTTTTAACGTATAACAGTCAAATGAAAAATATCAACTAGTTTTTACAAGTTCAAATAGCTCTAATTTTTTTAAAACTTAATTGGTTATCAAAAAACTGAAACTTTTCATGCATCATTATTATTTATGAAATCAGGTTGAAACATTGCCAAGTTTCATTGCTCATTAGCTTGCTCGAAAAAACTAATCGCGAATCCATTGAAGCTATGAAAAGAATTCAAGCTGTTTCAAATTTTTATTGCTCTTAGCTTGTTTAAAAACAACCTGAAGTTTTGCGGACAGATTTTAACTATGAAATCACAAATTGAAATATTTGCAAGTATCATTTCTCAATAGCTTCCCTAAGAAAACTTAAACTGATCGCAAATTGCTTCAAGCTTTAAAAACAACTTCAACTATTTTTAAGTTTTTTATTCAATTGCTGGTTTTAAGTTTTTTTGAGCACCAAGTTAAATTATTAAAGCAAGCTAAATTATATCCAATTTTCATTGCTCATAGGCTTGCTTTAAAAAACTGAAAGAGTCGATTGAAGCTGTGAGAAAAATTTGAACAAAGTTTTATTGCTAGGTAGCTTGCTTGAAAATACTTATTTGTGCAAATAGATCCAAGTTTTTGCCTGAGAGAAAGCTGAGTAGATTCAGCGAATGTTTTCAAGCTACTAAAACCAACTTAAACAATTTTCATGCTCAATCAGCTGCTAGAAAAATGTTAATGATTAACGAATCAGTCCAAGCTGTGAAAAAAAAATCAAAGTTTTTCATTTTTTTTTTGCTCAATGGCTTGCTTCAATAAACTTAGTTTTCGAGAATAGTTTTGAGTAATTGAAGCAATCTAAATTTCTTCCATAGTTTTTTTGTTCATTAGTTTGCTTCAAAATTTAAACGTTCTCCTAACCGATTCACGCTATGAAAACAAATTTTGTTTATTTTTTTAAGTCAAGAATAAAAATTATATTTAGGCAAACAATATTTAGGGGAATGTTTTCGTTTAGTTTTTATGAAAGCTAACATTTGTGTAATGAGCTTTATTAGTGCCTGAAGTTTAAAAGCATCAATGGGTTATAGGTCAGTTTTCAAGGCATTGGACTGTTAATCCATGGCCGGGTGTTCAAATACTGGATAGATCAATTTTTTCTTTTAAAGTCTTTTCACTTAATGTTTTTTGCAGATTTTATTGATTGCGATGTGCAGCTTTGCATCTGTGTCTTAGATTATAAAGCTACTTCAGTTTATTAATAAGATGAAAGTCTACGTCAAAAGGAGCAATTCTAGGTTAATTAACTTCGTTCAGATTGGTTGACTGAAAGGATATTGTCAGAAATTTGGCATTTGTTGTACTTCGGAGTTTATTTAAGAACCTTCTTCTGGTTTTTAGTAACAGATATCCACAGTTCTAATGATCTAATCGAACATTTATTTGGAAAGTTTTTGAACTTTTTTAAAGAATTCCCTAGTGTTGCATTAGGGGTGTATAACACTGTGTTTGTTTCAGCTAAGACGCTCAAGTTGCACTGTGACGCCGAGTGTGCAAAAGTGGGTGGCAATGAGGCCTGTTGGGGTCCAGGACCCGAGATGTGCTACAGGTGTAAACATTTCAACTTCAACAACAAAACTTGTGTGTCAGACTGTGACACCTCCTCTAACTTCACGACAAAAATATCCTCCGAAGTCAAACTGTGCGAAACATGCCACGAGGAGTGCGAAGGAGGATGCACTGGCAGGGTAAACACTGCATATTGTTGACGCTTTTTCAGTGCCCATTTCAAAATACTTAATTTTAATTGTTATCAATCCAGGTAACTGTCATTTATTTATTTTTCGTCAATTTTTAAGTATCAATGGGCAATTTAGTACTTTCTATAGGTCGCGTGTTTAATTTTGTTTCGGAAAAACAAGTTTTTAAATTTAACGCTCAAATTTGATTTTTCGTAGTTGGATTTTTGTTCCGACTTTCGAAGAAAAGATGAATATATGGGCTTGGTGGTTTTTTTGCTTTTGACTTTTTAAATAACCATTTTTGAACGGCCTTTTTACAGCATTTGAAAGGTATCGAAACCTTATGCTTCATTTTTTCAAAATTGAAATTTCACCTGTTTAAAAATTGTGGTATTTTAATCCGGCGCAGAGGCAAGCTATTTGGTTTTCAGGCAAGCTATTTAGAGTAATGAACGTGGTAAAGACTCTTAGATAGGTTTTGCAGATTTTTTTTCAGGGGCGGATTTAGAGGGGCGGACGCCCCCCCCCCCCCCCCCCACCTCAGGGATTCGACCCCCTGCCAAGTCAAAGGGTCCCCCCTTTGGTACTTTTAAGAAATCAATTTTTGGCCGATTGACCCTAAAATTTTTCTAAAGGCGCCTTTGGCGCCAATATATACTAACTTTGAGGGGGAGCGCGCGCCAAAAAAATGCGATTTTTTCGTCAAAATGTTCTCATAAACGGATTTTTTCAAAAATTTGCCTGTGGCGCAGAAAATTTGGCCAGAACATGTTCTTTTTACTGCTGTAGGAGAGCTCGGTAAATCAATCTGATCGACCTAAAAAAAATCCGCCCCCCCCCCCCCCCTCGAGAAAATCCTAGATCCGCCCCTGATTGTACCTATAATTATGTCAACACATGAGTTAATGTTTTTAAGTGAGCTTTCACGATGAGCCTCGTTTAATAAGTTAGCTAGATGATCTAGATGAGCAAAAATGAAAATTGTTTTTGAAACAAAAAAGCTAATGAGTTTTTGTAATGCGGGCGAAATCTTTGAATTTCAGTATAGTTGTGGCATATGCACATACACACACATTCGATCTGCTTTTGATCTCGCAAATTGATGAATAATTTTCTGGTGTTACCTCGGAATATTGATGCGGGCATGGAGCTCATTTGTTCTTTGAATAGCCGTAATCCCTAAATAGAGGAGCACTCTGAACATTACTTTGCACTGGTACGAGTAGTTTTTGTTTTTTAATGTTATTTTCGAATTTCTTTGCTGACCGAACACATTACGTTTCACAATAACGCAAATGCAAATATTGCGAAAAAGCATGTGACTTCTATTTTCGAAAAGGGGTTCTTATTTCTATTTTTCTGATATTTCAGGTTGCCCAGTGCGATAAATGTATTGCCCAATGACCCAGTTTTTTAAAATTTGGTTAGTCTTATGAAAAATAATCTAGCATAAAAAGATTCCTGAAAATTAAAGAGTCGTTGTTTGGTTGTTTTATTCGAAAGTTGTCGATTTCTAATAAAAAAAAGTCTGTTACTTTTTCGTTTTTTGAGTTTCTTCACACTTCTCTATCTTTTTGGCTATGCTTTTTTGTTGAAATGATTTAAGGAATATAGAGCACGTATAAATTTATTTAGTTTATTTTGAAGTTGGTCGGAATAAAAAAACATAAGCATATAATATGCCTGACTATCTTCGAAGAAAGTCAGGAATATATATGCTTGTGTTGTTTTATTCAGACCAAATTTGGATTTAAAGATTGATATTAGCTCCCTTCGCTCTCAGAACAGATTGTAAGTTGGCTAGCAGAAAGTAAGTTGGCTATATTTCGAAGAAGCTTGGGTGATTTTACTTTGGGTCAGAACAAATTCGGATTTAACAATTTTTTATATCCCAATGAAGATTGGGATATCACTATAAAAGTTCAAGTTGTTCTGTTTTGACCAGGGTCCTTCAGAATGCAAGAAGTGTCGCCACTTCAACAACACCGGCGTGTGTGTCAAAAAGTGCCCAGTGTATATGTTCCCTTCTGACAAACTTTGTTACCCGTGTCCAGCCGAATGCGAAACAGACAGGTATGTGCTCACTTCTTGGATCCCTAGCTTTGCAAAGGGAATCACATGCGATATCACAAGCAGGCCCCTATACCATAAACTATTCGTGTCTTGAATTGAACTGAAAAAAAATGCGCTTCAAATTGAATTGAGTGAGATATTCGTAGATATCCATTGAGTTGAGTTTGTCGACCCCATGCAAGTTATGACTTCTGAAAGTACAGGAACCACACCCTTGGGTTGATTTTTTATGACAGTCTGAACTATGATAAAGTCATGCAACAATGGGGTGTTTGATAAAAATATAATGAAGTATTTATCCGAATTTTAGGGGTTGTACTGGTAACGCATCCCGTCTGGGTGATGGAGGCTGCAACAGGTGTTCGGGGGTGGTGATGATCCACTCTGTGGACGAGACAGCGCCAGTTCACAGCAAGGAATGGGGTCGGAATAATACCTGCATCGCCGCCTCCGATGAGGAGATTGAGACGGGGGGCTCAACAAATCATAACGACTTGCACCTCTGTGAACCCGAAGGCGAATACTATTTCGACCGGCTAGGAATATCAGTGGACACCATCTTTGCGTCACAGAGGGTAAATGATTCAGTTATCATGTTTCGCATGATAGCATTCCTTGTGTTTAATTTCTTTTGCTAGCATGAATAACGGATTCAAGAACCGATACCTTAAACATTGTACCCTTTGTATTTTGTAGCTGATGCGTTCAACCAATTCAGATACATTAGAGCTGATATTTCGTGCTCCGTATGGGCTTTTTGGGTCATGACCACAATACCCAATCAGACTTACCCCAAAGTATAATAACAAGTTCTGTTTCAGCTGTGCATCAGATGTGATGCTCAGTGTGACTCCTGTTATTCCTCGGGACCCTCCCGATGCCACTCGTGCAAAAATCTCAAACAAGAAGGAACATGTGTCCAAACGTAAGTCCTATTTATCAGTGTTCATTTTTGATTTATAGATTATCCACGAGCAAAAGATGTTCAGCTTTTAACGGAGAAGCGCTGTTATGACTTGCTGAACAACTTCCTGCTATTTTATGGTATTTTTTCTCACTTGCAGGCAACAAACAAAGATCATGCGAGCCTCCAACTATATAACTTATCAACTGAGAGGCTGAGACCATAGTCATTCGCCATTTTCAAGTCGATGTTTCAAAATATCAATTTGCCTGTATAATTTTTAGGAGTAATGAACGTAGTCTTTAGACAAGCAAAGCTTGTGTGATAGTATGAACTCTCTTTTTTCTAACCTCGTCGCAAATATTGTTGCGGAGCAAATATTGTTGCGACAAAATATGTTCATTTTGATTAAAAACCAGCTATTTAGTACAGCCAATGCTAAGGATATTAACACAGACTATTATATTACAAATAGCAGTTTAGCTTCAAATTATCATGGATATGTAGCGTAGAGGTAGGGAAGGAGACACTCAAAGGGTTCGAACCTGGACAGGGTCAGATGTTTTCAATTAACTTTTTCATATACTAGTTAAAATGCGTCCGTCCGCTCTATGAATTGAGGCTTGCTTGTTGGTAATTTTTTTTCTTCAAATTGACTAGTACTGCTAATGCGTCATAATTGGCTTGCGTCACTTAGCAATTATATAGACTCGTAATTGGAGTGCGTCACTTGAGAAATTTTGTAGACAAAGTTTAAAAGTCAAACTTCGCCTCTGTGTAAAATTTGTTCACGCTCATGTTTGATTTTTTGTGGCTTGACTTACAATTTCTTTTTAAGTTCACTTCAATCCTTTCGTGAAAAGGAAGGTAAACTCCACTATCGAACAGCAAAAATATGAAGGTCATGGAAGGGGCTTTTGACAATAGTAGCAAGATAAAAAGTGATACGAACGTTTCGATTTAAAATAAAGAGTGGTTATTTGGGGCTCGGCGACAGCTCGTCGCGAGCGACGATTAGGGGCAAGCGGTAACTCATAAGATTTATATAAAGCGACCCTTCGCACCAATTGACTTTTCATAGCAGGCGACAATTAGTTGCAGGCTCAGCTCTAAATGATATGGTTAAATAAAATAAAGCAACAATTTTGGCGGTGGTTTTTTCGGGGCGAATAAAAATATACGAGCGGGTCCTATCCGACGGCCAGATTGAAATCGGAGATTAAAAAATAGCGGATTAAGTAGGCTTACCGAAGGCTTTGAATTGAGTACCAAACTGAGACAAATTAGCCGGTAATGTTATTAAAAGTTTTCGCCCTCCAAAAAATCTGCGTTTTACTTCTTTCGTTCAATTCAATCAATTAGTGCATTTCATCTCGACTTTTACACTTACTGTATCCAATATGTCCAACATGTCAGAGCTTAGTTTTGAAAAATTGATCAAGTTTCTATAGTTGAACTTCAAGCATTTAAAAAGCATAATAGTAGCCGTGTACTCGGGAGGAAACAGAAAATCCTGGTAAAGCAGAAACAAAAACCCGTTATTTCATAAGTTTTTTAAACCCACTGATGTTTTTTGGCGAGGCTGGGTTAGCCGACCTGTTATAAACCCTAATTTTATAAGGTAAATACTGCTATTAAAGAGAAAAAAACTCTGGAACCCCGCAGCGCTTGCCCAAATATAATTTTAGTAAGAACTTTCAAAGGCAAAGAGCTACCGAATATGCCACCGCTCGATTAAAGATATTGCTCTGCTTTTCGAGTTATCCCAGCTCCCAAAAGGGAGTTTTTTTTGCTATTCTATTCCAGCCCCACCATGATGATCGGTTCCGGTCCAGAGCATATTGATTGATTTTAGCCACCTACATCGTAATCATACATTGTCTAGCAAATCCAAAGTAAAAATCACTACTGCCGGGTTTTCACAGAGCTGAAAAATATCCGTCCAACACTTGAATCTTCTCGAATATTCGTCATTTGTCGCTTTTGTAAGTGCTTCGAGTAGTCACGTGGGACGAATTTTTGCCTCGCCGCTGTTCTGACGCACTTGACACATAAACATTGTAGATGTCTTCATAACCGACTTAACCCCTGACATGCAGGAATTTCCTCACTTTCCAGACACGCTGATGTTTTTGTTAACTACACCTTTGTATCAATTAATGCATTGTAGCTGACTTTTTGGAGTTGTTGGTAGGTGTGGGGACTCGTTTGCTGAGATAGACGATCAGTGTGTGCCATGTGATGACCAGTGTGACTCGCAAGAGGGCTGCTTCGGACCCAATTCATGGGAGTGCAATTCATGCAGGCGCAACTTCTACACCATCGACTCAACCGACTCAACGCAGAATAAATCTATGGAAATGGTAAGCACACAAATTTGTGTAACTTATTGTTGTTCAGACCACAAAATTTGGGATTGGCTCTTGTAATTGGCTTTTGTATACGGTGGTTTCTTATGCAAACTGAGTTACCGCAAATAAACGCCAAATAAGGTGGATTAAATTGACGCATGCTTCAGGGTCTTGGTAAAGCGTACAAGTAAGGACACTTATTTAGATCGCGCTGTTTCTTGGTCGCGTTTTTTTTTTCGTTTGATTTTGTAACAGCTCAAGTTTATTTTTTCGCGGTTTTAATTTTGATTTATTTTTATGTTCAAAAAAAATTAGTTATAAAGAAGGTAATTTCTGCGCTCGAATAATAAAAGATCAAATGGCGCGAATAAACGTGAATGCACTTGTTCAAAGAATGGATTTTAATTCCCTGGAGAATAAAACAAAGTATATGTAGATGCAGTGTTCCCCACTAAGGTCGGTTTTTTCTTAATATTGTCAATCATAAAATTTTTATGAATATCAAAGAGCTTATGGGTTATTCATGTACTCGAAAGCTTGAAAAAAAAAATTATTGTTTTTTAGACTCCCTGACTTTGTTTTCACTTTTCCAACTGTCTGTTGGCTAAGTTTTAGTCGTTTGGTTCTTTGTTTTGTTCAGCCATATTTTTCTATATTGAAGGAACGTAAATTGTGTATGTTTCAGAAGAAGTACTGTGTGCGACAGTGCACTGAGGATTATCCCCTTTTGGTGCCTGAAACGAGAGAGTGTGTAGCCAGCTGTGGAGATAGACAGTACAACGACTCAAACGACGAATGCATGCCGTGCAACTCGCAGGTCAGAACAGAGAAAAAGAAAAATAAACTACGCCAAACACATTGTTTTAACAGTCCTCGTTAAAAACTTGCTCGAGCCTTCGAAATATAATCAAAATCGTATATTGTATATTTAACAATATATGGATATTTTTCTAAATGCTACATTGGTGGTATTGATGGAAAACAGTACTTAAAAAATCGAAAATTATAACATTATTTTTACTTGCCATAGCAAGTGTACTGAACTAAACTTGAACTTAGTTTTGCCACAATTGTTTTCTGGTATTGTCGTAGGTCAATTCACTTTTTGAGTGTATAAGAGTCGATGGGCGTAGTTCAGACTCTTATATAGGTCGCGATGGTTTACTCTTTCGCAGTTTGACTTATGATTTTTTTTAAGTTCAGTTCATTTCTTTTGTTTATACGAGCGAAGTGTAGTATATTATTACGAAGAAATTTTTTCTAACTAATAATTGTGCTCATTTGGTGCATTTTTGATATATTTCAACTTAATCGTTTTTAAGGTTATTTACGGATATACAATTTAATGGCATATGTCTCTGCTTTTTTTGGCTATTGTGAAGTCCTGTTTGAAAACAAAATATGTATAATGAAAATGTATCGGATTATTATTTTTCGTTTTTTTTTCCGACGCTTCGGAAAATTTTGCACTTTACGCAAAAGTTTCATTTTTTCTCAAAAACTAGTGTACCGATTTTCAGCAGTGGTACCAAAAAAACTGGCTGCTTTTCTATGTGCCTGCATATTTCGCTGGTTTCTTTTCATTTTACTTCACGTTCTACCGCCTTCGAAACTTTCAGCAGAGGTATTTTCGGCCTATTTGTGATTTTAAATTTTATCAAATATTAACTGCACAAAGCTGAGATGAAGGTTTCAATCAAAAGAACAAATTATGGGGATCTCTCCTTCCTCAAGCGGCATTTCTTAATTTCGGTAGAAAAAAGTTGTGACCTCAAACAAGCCATTTTTTGGCATTTTGGTGGTTAATTTTAAAACTTTTGGACTTTTCTGAAAAACTACCCTGCCAAATCCGCGGTTAAGGGTTTAACCTAAAAAAAATCAGATATGCGAATTTTACATGCGCAAACGGCTATGCACTGCGTTTTGAAAAAAAATATGGATTTAGAAAGAGTCCAATTTTTGAAATTTTTTCCGTTTTTTTGGAAAGTTTTTCTTTCAAAAAACTAACCTGTTTAGGGTGATAGTTTATTAAAATTAGCATGTTGCTTTACTTTTCCCTGCGTAATCTGTTTTACCCTGTTTTTTTTTGCAGAGAAGTTTTATGCACTGTGGAAAAGTTTCTACTAAAATTTTAACCCTTTTTTACAATAGAGTTTTTGAATAAGATTTTTTTTTTAGAATTTCGTCACTATTTTCAAACGAGTAGCTAATTCTCATATTACGGGTTCAATCTAAAAAATCAGGATGTGGTAATCTTTAATCTAAAAATCAGGATGTGTGTGGAAAGCAGAGGCTCTTCCCATGCTTAAGTCCAGAAAAGTTTATGGTTTTAGGGAAAACGAAAACAAATTTTTGATTGTTTTGATCGACTTTTGAATTTTTTTTCTTCGAATGACTACCCAGCCAAAGCTGAGATAAGGTTTTCAACTGAATGATCGAGAATAGTTGTCTCTTTTAATTATGCGGTTAATCCCTATATGAGCAGGGAAACACTCGGTTTTAGCGTTAAGTCCATTTTTTTAAAATTTGAAATTAACGCATTTCCGTATTTGTACATTATATGATGAAAAAGATTGGAACAGGTAGATATATTCAAATAATTTTATTTTTTTGCTTGAGTTTTTGCCGCATAACGTTGGCAATGTGATAGAGACTGTAGCTGCTTTATTGGTGGCTACTTTTAATAAAATTACAAGCGGTCGTGGAGCAGATGTCAGAATGTGATACTTCTAATCTCAACAAAATTTTTTTTTTCAACGTGTTATTTTAATCTTTTCCTTATTTCACTTTGTTTTGCTTGTTTTTTTTGCGCTTATTTTCAATTTCCCTACTTGCGTTTACGAAGCGCAGCTTCGCCTCTGTGTAAAAGGAAGGCAAACTCAACTATCGAACAACGAAAGTTGAAAGGCCACGAAAAATGTGATCGACTTGTATTTTCGAAAATGGAATTTAATTTTCAGGTTCCCTAGCGAAATAGAAAACTTCCTATTGACCCAGTTTTCTCAAATTGGGTTATTTTTTTATCGAAAAACAGCTAATCGTAAGTTTTTCTAAAAATTCAAAGAGCTGTAGGATCATCTATTTTTTTTTGAAATTCGAAGTTTTGGAATTCGAAAATACAAGTCAGCTTTTTCTGTTTAATTGCGTGCCTTGACTCCTTTCCAACTGTTTGTTGGTGATTTTTAGTGTCTGCTGGGCTGCAGTGGTGGCAAGTTGACCGATTGTGTGGGTGGGTGTCTCAACGTGGAACTGGACGGCGGCTGCTACGAAGAGTGTCCCCCCAACTCAGAAGTGGACTCCACTAACCCCAAATCATGTGTGCTCATCTCATCTCCAGCACAGTTAGTATCAACTACGACAAATTATGGGAGGATTGTTGTAATTTTTGTTCTCAAATATTGCAATGACCGAAAAAATATGCTAAGGTACTATTAATGCAAGATTGAACCAGTTTTGTAGCCCATGTCAGATATCAGCATGATCACTTTGATTTTCGAGAATGGACTTAAATGCTTAGTCACTCTTGTTGCCACTGTATCAGTGATACGCATTAAATTGTCTCATTGTCAAATAATTCAAATAGTCAATATCTAATTGATCATTGAAATCAGGTAGTTGGAATTCTACACTTAAATAGTCCTAAAAATGAAGAGCTAAAGTTCTCCACGCCAATATCTGATAAGAAACAGGCTGAAAATGCGGGATGAATTAATCTCTGAGTATCCGAGGACTATGATGGAAACCTTGCTTGACAGAAATTGGTTTGATAGATTTCTGCTGTCGGGCACGAAGAAGGTCCCACTGCTGCTGGGCATGGGGGTGATCCCGTGTGTGTGTCTCATTGGAATTGTCTGTCTCCTGAAGTACAGGACGGCCAAGAAGAATGCAGTGGCGGAGAAACTGAGCAGAGAGCAGAAGTATCTCGGCATGGATCTCATCACCAAAGAAGAACCGGTGAGCACCAATAGGAGAACTCGTCAAATATCAACTGTTACTGTTTTTATGTAGTGATGAAACACTGAAAAATGACTGCAAAAGTATAATATTTGGTTTAGTGACAAACAAATGGCAAATCGTAGGGAGAGGCAGAGCAATTTTTTTTTTGGAAGGAATTTTTGCATCCTGTTTGAGTATGAACGCTTTGATTATAGGCGCCCTACACTCCAACTGGGATTGAGCCGAGCAAAGGCAAGATGTACATAGTGCAGAAACACGAGCTGAAGAGGATCGGACCCCTGGGATCAGGCGCATTCGGCACAGTGTACAAGGGCGTGTGGTGTCCGGAGAACGATCCCAAAGTGCAGTTGCCAGTGGCGATCAAAGTGCTGCAGGATCCAGTGCCAGGCGCAGAACAGACATTCATCGATGTTAGCTATGTGAAAATTAATAAAGAAATTGCTTGTAGGTCTTGGTCAGGGACACAACAGTGGTCGTTGAAACACATTATGCTTTATGTTAAATCGTCTGTTTTACGTCGTACGTCTTTACTGTGATACGTGATGTTTAGGAAGCGCAGTTTATGGCGAGTGTCTCTCACTCGTGTCTGTTGCGACTGCTGGCCATCTGCATCACAGAGACACCCCAGCTAGTGACGAGACTTATGCCCCACGGCAATCTGCTGGACTACATCCGCAAATATGGTCACGCACTCCCTTCTAGAACATTCTTCCTATGGGGCAAACAGATTGCAGAAGTGAGTCATAATTATATAAAAACCTAACTAGCTATCTAGACAAAGACATAGAAGACTCATCACGAACCGGTGTAGTTAACTATACTATTTTGGACTTTGAGTTGATGTCTGGATGGGTATGCGTAGATAACACATCATACCGTAGCCCACGAGCTTAAGTTTGTGTACCTGACAAGAAATAAATGAAGAATCTTTAAAATTGGTCGTTTTGTGTTGGTTTCCTTGTTCATAAAGATTTTCCAACAGTCTCATAGAAATTGAACGCACCAATCCAGTTTTTTGTCAATTTGGGTTTGTTTGTCGATAAGGCGATCATGATGAAAGTTTCTTGAAAAGAGCAGTAATGTGATTGATTTGATATATTTTGACGAATCAGAATTGAATTAGAAATCAATGTTTAGTTTTGCGGCATAAGAGAAAACAATGGGAAGCAGGTAAACTTAGGCAAATTACGAATCTTATTGTCTAAAGCGCATATTTTATTACAATTTTTCCAAAAAACGAGAAAAGTCCATGTGAACGCTTAGTGGTAGCACTCCAAAACAACTTGACTATCCAAAAAAATCTGGCACAAAAAAAAACTTTTTACTCGATATTTTGTCGATGGTACAACTTGTCTGATGCTAATTTTGTACAGCAAACTATTTTTTAATTTTTTCGCTTCAGATGGTTTCATTAATTTTGATTGCAGTTTGTAGCAGAAGGTATTTGCATTTAGGGCATGGAGTATCTGCAGTCGAAGCGAGTGGTGCACAGAGACTTGGCTGCTCGCAATGTGCTTGTGCAGAGCACACGACAGATCAAAATCACCGACTTCGGACTGGCCCAGATGCTTAAACACGGAGAAGAATCTGTCAAATTCCAGGGCGGAAAGGTACGTAGCTTGTATTAAATATGTTGATACCTAAATGGTACAATTTACCTCAAATGTATCAATCTAAAAATTCCTCTATAATCTTTAATTTTTGAAAATGGTTTTTTAGTACCTAGCTTTTTACACAAGCGGATCGTAGTGTGTTAATACGAAGTCCACTTTTTTTCTAACCGAAGTCGCCAATATTGGTGCTACTTTTGGTAGCACCATTATTTTCACAAAAATAGTTAAAAGACCGATGAAAAGACCGTCTACTCTCTGTGTGCCTGATATTTTGCTAGTCTCTTTTTACCGAATCACTCGGCGTTCAAAACTTGCAGTGCGGCGATTTTTGACGCATTTTTTTCATTTTCTCAAAGACTACCCCATCAAATCAGATTTCATCAAAGATTACAAGCAAAAGAAAATGTTATTAGAACCTCACTTGCATAAGCTGCGTCGCCTGGTTTTGTAGAAAAAATTATGGCCTTGACAATGCCCAAATTTGAACTGTTGATCATTCTTCGAAAACATTTTGCTCGAAATCTACCGTGCCGAAAAATCAATCTGAGATCAAAAGTTCAATCGCAAGAAACAGTAGTAGGAATCCTCCTTCCAACAATAAAAACGGCTCTGAATTTGGAAAAAAGTTATAGAAATATCGTTTGTTTAAATTTGAAGTTTTGACAATTTTTTTGGAAACTTTTGGTTGTTCTCCAAAACAATTTCGCCAAATCTGAGATTAAGAGTTTAATCGAAAAAAAATTAAGAAAAGATAGCAGCCTTTTTGTCTGCATGAGCAGCAACGCACTTATATTTGTAGAAATTTTTGACTGGATAAACCTACTTATTGAAATTTTGACCGTTTTTAAAAAAATTTTCTTGGAAAGTACCCTGCCAAATATGCGAGTGAGGGTTGAATTGAAAAATTGAGGTGCATGTAAGTTTTCTCCTTTTTTCTTGCTACGCTTGTGTTTTTGTAGAAAATCTTTTTGGTTATAGCAAATTCCACAATTTGCAATGTTGACCGTTTGTTGGAATTTTTTGTTTTTCTGGGGAACTACGTGCCAAATCTGAGAATAAGGGTGAAACCGCAAAACAAGTTTTAGGGACATCCTCAGAATCAACGGTTTCTATTAATTTTTGGAAGCAATCAGCAATGGCGTTAAGACTTGAATTATTTGACAATTCAACCAATTTTGGAATTTGTGGCCATAGAAAATGTTAAACTATTTAGGTTTGCTCGTTTTTTTGGAAGATCTGCTAGATTTTTTTGAAAACTTGACTTGTCTCGGAAGCCACGCTCTCAACTTCCGTATAAAGGATTCAATGAAAAGAACATATTCTCTGCCCTAGTTTTTAAGAAATTGTGCCCTAGTTTTTGAAGGAAAAAAGTATTTATGGCCTTAGAAAATGCCCTAATTTTGACATTTTGTCTGTTTTTGGAAACTCTAGATTATTCTCAAAATGTAACCTGCTGCCGATCTGAGTTTTGGAGATCAATCAAAGGAACAGGTACTATTAAATTTTGGTGCTTAAGCAACTAGGCCCCTTAATTTTAGAAATGCAAATTTGGACCTAAAAAGTTAGTTTTCCGAAATAGTGACAATTCTGAGTTTCTCGAAAACTACCGGGCTAATTGTACAATATAGCGGGTTCAATGCAGAAAAAAAGTTGTAGGTGTCGACTCATTTTGTTGACTTAGCTTAATTTCTCCGAAATGTCAGTTTTAAGGTTAAGAAAGCAATCAAAGGGAGGTGTTTTATTGATTTTCCTTGCTGAAATTTTTCATAGTACTTCAGCCTAGGAGACAAATTTTTTGACTTTTTGAAAATTACGCATAACATTTTGCAAAATTCATTTAAAATTATCAAACAGTAACCTTCAGCTGTGGCTGGAACCCTTGTCTGTTTTTTTGCTGCATTAACAGCATATTAAGAGTAATGAACGTCGTGCAGACTCTTATATAGTCTTGCTTATTTTTTTGAACAAAAAAGTCATGAAATATTGATTCACTTAGCTATTATACACTTTTTGAGTTCAATTGAAATTCATCTGCTGATAGTGACGTAAATAGCACTCTCCAAATACGAACGTGGAAATGGTGCTAAAAACGTGAAAGATTTCTAGTTTCGAAAGTGGAATTTAATTTTTAGATTTCCAGCGGAATAAAAACTTTACCTATTGATCCAGTTTTTTCAAGTTGGGTACGTGGTATCAAAAAGCGCCAGTCATAAATTGTTCTAGAAATTCAAAGGGCATCTATTTTTTCTTTGAAATTTGAAAATTGAGATTTTTTAAAACTCAAGTCAGTGTTTTTTTAAATGTTTTCTTGCGTTCATTACTCTTTTCCAATCTTCGATTGGCTATGTTCTTGATTATTTTTTGATGGCTATTGTTTGGAAACTGTGAAGTGACCACGTCGCAGACGCTAAGACGGGTGAATCCTAGTCTCCACGTCAAGGCTTCGATACAGGAACCTAGCAGACATTTCATTTCATAGTTTTTTCTTGTCTTCATTTTAAAGTGTTTGCTTAAGTGTTACTTTGTCGCTTTTTTGCTTGTGTTTGCGAAGTGCAGCTTAACCTCTGTGTCAAATCATTCAATTATAATGCACGCATTTGAACTGCTTTTTTTGGAAAATATCTATACTCTTTACTCAAATTTCGGTTGATTGTTCCTGAGTTTTTTAAGATGCCTTTGGCGTTAATATGTACCGATTTTGAAGTGAGGGACGCGCGTTGAAAAGGCTATTCTTGGGCAAAATTTCGAAACAATTCCCAAAGGTAGCATTTGTGCAACCTGAGCAAAAGACGCTTAAAAAATATATTTAATGCGGAAAATCTTATCTTATTTTGCAGCCAGATTAAAATAGCCAGTGTAAACCTGGCTTTTTTCCCCGAGTAATCTTTTTGTGTCCTACAATTTAAAACCATTCAATTTAATGTTGATTGCTTTAGGTGCCTCTGAAGTGGCTGGCGCTGGAGTCTCTGGTTGAGAAAACGTTTACGCATGCTAGTGACGTCTGGTCCATGGGCGTCACCCTGTGGGAGGTGTTCACACTTGGGGGCAGACCGTACGAACAGGTCACAGGAGGCGTGTCTGAGATGATCAAAGTGCTCCAGGATGGAGAGAGACTTCCCCAACCACCTGGTGCTACCCTGGATCTGTTCGTCGTCATGCTCAAGTGTTAGTCTTGAATCGTGCGCTGGAAGGATGATTTTACTTGGTCTTCAATAATTATTTGGTCAATTAGGTTGACCGTATTTGTTTTTCTTTATTGCAAGATTTAGAAAAATTTAGCATGTATTTAATAGCGTTTTAGTAGCTTGCTTTCAATTTCATTTATTGAATGGCTAGTTCCTGTTTGATAATAACCGGTCTTATGCATATCTGGGATTTGGTTTCTTTTTGGTACGCTTCGGAAAACTTTCGGCTTTTCACAGAAGTTGAAGTTTTTTTTTGAAAACTACCTCATTGAGTGTTAAAACAAAATGCGCCCACGGAAAGATTGGTTAAGCCACTGTGTCTGAATATTGCGCTAGTGTCTTTTTACCTTACCCCACGTTCTACGGACTTCGAAAATTTCATGTGGATCTCCCCTGTTTAAACCGTTACGACCTAATGTTTGAAGAAAAAAGTTATGGCGTTATAAAGTGTCCAAAATTTGTCCGTATTTTGGAAAATTTTTTCTCTATAAATAACCTGTCAAATCTGAGAGTTGAAACAATAAAACAGTTAGTAGAATTTTACCCTGCATAAACGACTCCTTTCTTGTTTTGTAGAAAAATTTAATGGTCTAAAGAAAGGCTATTTTTGACATTTTGACACTTTTTGTGAAACTGTTTCTTCCAAATCTGCTATTAAGGGTTCAAGCAAATGTAAAGAACGTAGGGATCTTCCTCACATGAATTGTTTAAAGCTATTTTCTGTAGAAAAGCCAGCACGGCCTGAGGAAAAGCTCATTCTTCAACGTTTTTACCGTTTTCTTGAGAATTTTTAATCATTTCTAGAGATTCATCCTGGCCAAATCTGAGATTAATAGAAATCGAGTAGAACGAGTTGTAGAAATTTTCCCTATCTAGCCTCAAATACTTTAATCAGAGAAACCACGATGGTTTTGGGTCAAGGGGACTTCTTGACATTTTGAAATTAACGCATTTCTTTATACATCAGTGAAAATTATTCTAAAGAAAATTCAAAAAATTACGGCTGGGCCATTAGTATACATGAGCATATCAATCTTTAGGTCCATGGCTCGAATCCGACGAATAGAATTTTTTTAAAGCTTTTTCTGTTCCTCTCTTTTTTTGTTTTTTTTTTTTCGTTTTCTCGCTTTTGCACACAAAGTGCAGCTTCACCTCTGCGTAAAATTTGTCTCGTAGCTTTATTTCTGAAGTATTTTGTGCTGTGTTTAATTATCCTATTGAGTCGCCCTTCCAGGAGCCGATATTTGAGTTTCTTCATAACAGGAGCGTTATCGAAATTTTTACCAATTGCGATAATAATAATAAATTATCGATTTGGCGGTGGGCGTTGAGTTGCTTGAAAAATGATTTCAGAATTAAAAAATGATTTCAGGATTTGTCGTGTTTTGCATGTCGTCTTAATGTCCTGTCATTTTATTTACCTTGATCCATGTGATGTTTAGGCTGGCTGGTGGAGCCTAAGAGCAGACTGACCTTCACTCAGATCAAAGAGGAGATGTCTAGGATGTATGAGGACGCCGACAGATACTTCGAAGTGCAGGTAACAAAACAGCTCTTACCCCTCTCCGAAACCTAACTTAATCGTTTCATAAGAACGCAAATATGCGTGTTTGCGTTACCTTTTACATTTTGGACACGTGGATTGCTTATATTATGTACCATATATCTGTTATAATTTGCCTAGGTATATTTTCGTTTGTCTCACAAAAATTGTCAGTTTCAAGTCATTGCTAATTTATTGTATTTGCCATGAGTATGATGCACTGAATCAACAAACGCTCTATAAAATGTTGTATAAAATGATAGTGCTAACTATAACTGAAGGCTCCGAAAATAGTAATCCGAAATAGTAATTGTATATAACATGGGGATCCAATTTGAAAGTATGTTTCTTAAATGGAGTCTGCTTTTCACCGCAGCCTTTTTTGAACTCCAGTGGAAGGCTGGATTCCTCCGTTTCCAATAGCAACGGTGCCTCGCTAGGGGGCGACTATGTTCCCAGAACCCTGCCCCCTTACCTGTCGGTAACCGGAGACACTATCTGTTCATGGACTTATGACGATGAGGCCATGAGCCGTAGTGGTGTGCAAGGACCCTCTAAAACCTCCACACTTCCGGGGGGTGGGGCGAATAACAATTATAATCCCCTGGGTGGGGGAAGTTTTTCCAGTTACAACAGCAAATGTTCCTCAGCCTATACACAAGAATCATACGTGCCTCTAACCTGTAATTCGTCCTCGGTTATGAGCGACCGATATAAAATTATGTCAGCCAATAACAACAACGTCCCTCATATGGACCAGAGCGAACGTGAAAAGGTGAGAGTACTTTGATGGTGATTGAATTGAATTGCCTGCATATTTGCACATGCATATAGATTTCTTTTTCCTATTTGGCTGCGAAAGTTCACAACCTTTATTTTAAATTTCCTGTATTTCAAGAGGAACACATAGTTAAGCGAGAGCTGGAAAGCGATAATTTTTGTGGTCGCTTTTATTATGTCTGTTGTAGTAGTTGGTTGCCTTAAATTTATAAAACTGTCCAATGCAGTGGTAAATTTTATAGTACCAATACGACCGACCACCAATACAACTGACTACTATGAATATAAGTATATAGCAAGCAAGAGTGAATTGCAAATATTGGCAGGATAGAAGAGAGAATTTATGAGCAGGCTTAGCATAGTGGTTACTTCGTGAATAGCTCAATGGTAAAGCAATAGAATCAGAATCTAAAGATCGCAGGTTCAATTCCTGCTTCACAACCCAAACCCAACCACTCGCGCCATCCTGCTATTATATTAAGCAGCTGGACTAGCATAAAGCTCCACTAGCATTAACAATTGAAATATATCTTTGCATCGTATCAGGTAGCGTACATTTGCGGAGAGCAAATGTATATCTCCGCTCATTGCAGCCATAGTTTTAGTTCTCACAGTATTATCGCAACAGAAACTGATTTGTATCTTTAGATGTTAAAATTCCGCATATGATTAAGCATTGATGTAGCTCTTTATAGGGGGGTTTTTCTTTTCTGGGAATCAAATTGGGACAAATTTCATCAAAATTAATTAGATAGCTACTGTTTTTTTCTACATAGTATCATTTTCAGTAAGATAAGTTTTTCGAGGCTGTCATTTTTTGCACTGCTTTGGTTACATTACATTACGGTTTTAGTTAATGTATTGCTTTCTAGCCTTCTTTAAAAAAAATTTTTACAGCATTTGAAGGTGAATTTGCAAATTGAAAATTATGATTATTGAACAGGAGTTGATTTTTAGCTTTACCATCAAATAGTTCGTAGTTTTTGCTTTCAATGGAATTAATTTTTAAGGAGTTTTGATTATCAAATCCGACGATGAAGTGAAGTGCGAATGTTTCTGTGATGCTAGTTTGTAAAAATTGGTCGTTGATTTCTTTTCATGACAATGGATGATGATTCATCCCATGTCATTCTTTCACGGCTCTACGAGCGGTGGTAAAGTGAATAATGTTCTAGTTCACCCTCATGATCATTAATAAGAGGTTGAGGTGAAGTTTCCAGTCCAGAAAATTGAAATAATTATTTTTCACCAAAAGATATATATATATAGTGATAAGTCGTAAAGATTTAAACATTTTTTTCTGGTGGTTCTTTTTGTGCAAAATTGCTCTTGAAAACTTTTAACGAGTATGTGTTGGTTGGCCTAGCTATTGAGCGACGACGTACGTGGCAACTACTACCAGCCTTCAAATGAGATCCAGGGACCAATGAGTGCCCAACAGGCCGCAGGATTCGGCCCCATCACTGCCGCCAAGTTCGGAGGCTCACAATATATGGTACATAAAAATGCTCCTTCTGCTTGTCATAATGCATGATCGAGTAAAACTCAACATCAGAAAATCCAAATCAATCCGTTATATGCGATACGAGTAGCATACGTTATAAGGCAAAACTGATATGCGAAAATACACTGACCATATGAGATGAATTTGATGATGAGAAAAAATAATAAAATAGGCTAAAATTTTGATGACGTGAAGGTAAAGTTAGAAAGCAAAGATTATTTGAACTATAAAGTTAGAAAGCGTTGAATACTCAATTTCGGTTCGTCTTTTAGGCAATCGTGCCTAACCAAATGAGCCCGAACTCTGCCGAGTACATGCTATTAGATAGATCCAGTACTGGAACTTACGACTCTGGGGGAGCCGGTTTGAATCCCACCTGGCTCCCTAGCCAAACCAGTCCAGGTGGAACTCAAGGTGGTGGTGGGTTTAATGTGAATGAAAAAAATGTTGTGGCGGCGACGTCGAATGTTGCGAAGCACTGCAACAATAGCTATATAGATTCACCCCAAATGCGAATGAAATCAGTGACTGCCACCGCCAGTACTGCATCGCATGCGGAAACTTCTTTTTCCTCGCCTGCCAAGGGGAAGCGGAAGAGCTTTGACTCGGCGGCTGTACTGAGAAATCAGCCCATAGTTACTTATAGTCCCGTCAGCAGCGAGCATGCTCGTCGTTTTTCCTCAAAGGTGAACTAGCACAGCCAATGACTGTAGTCGTTTTGAAGTAGGTTTGGTTCACACTTGGGCTTGATGCACGCATAGCCTAACTGCGAGATTATGACTGCGGGATGCTGCCAAAACATAACTTCAATCTACTAACAGCAGTCTCCTAACTTTTCACTTAAATGACAGCTTCAATTCGTTTTATAGAGATTTAGAAAAAAAAACTTACTCAGTTTGGTTGGAAGGAAAACTTAGCTGACAAACTGAAAATAGTAAAGATTTTTGAATTAGCTTGCAAACTTTTTGAATTGTGTTGGTTGTTGGCTTTGCTTTTAGAAAAGCAGCAATTGAGACTCTAGAGACTTGAGTTTTAAGATTCGGTGAATTGCTCTGTTTGGCTCAATATTCCTATTATATTTTGGTTGATTGTCAAGTAGATTAGAAAATTCAATTTAGTTTCTGGCCGGAGTTATACTTAGTCACTAACAGTGGAGGTTACCCATGAGAAGCCAAAAGTCGAGCTACTGTATCAGCATCATAGAACTTTCCGACCACAATGGTCGAATGAAAAAATATATATATATATATATATATATTAAAAAAAAGCTAAATTGGGAGTGGGCCTAATTTAGCTTCTCAAACGATCAATATAAATAATATACTCGCTTTGAGTTAAAGTAAAGATGATTTTTCATCCGTTGGTCGGGACAAAAAGTAGTTGAGGTAGCCACGCGTGAAACTAACAGCAGCCATACATTATCAGTCGTGTCTTTGTATTATGATTCACAAGGGACGAGGTAATCTCTCCTGCATGTTATTTTAATTTTGTTTTATCCATGTTAAGACTGGGTTTCAGTGTATTTCGTCTGGTAATCGCACTCACCTTTCCCAATGTTGATTATATGTTCCCTCACTCTATTCTCGACAATTGCTTTGGTGTCTTCCTCTGCCACAAAAACTTCATCCAATTTTAGTCATAATTCAGTTGCTTGAGTTTTCATCGTATGAAACTTTAAAACTACCGCAAATCTCTAGGAATAGTCAGTTGCTGAATAGCACGAAACATTGTCCATACGTGGTCATTTTCTGAAAAAATAGTGAAAAAAATGGGAGAAAACAACAAATGTCACGATTAAAGCTGAATATGCTATATCACTCGGCCCCTTCTGCTGTCTATTTTCGGTGCCTGATTTCGCTTAAAAAAGACTGGAATGCAAAATTTCTCCTGATTTTTGGACGCCGGAGCAATGATAATCATAATTGATGTGGTGCTGGAAAAATCTTGAATATTTTCGGGTTTTTTACATCTACCTCTTTTGAAAATTACTAAGAAGTTAGAATATTTTGACATTTCTTTGGAGAAAAGAACTTAGTGATTGGAGATGGAATCACCCAATTAAGAAAGTAGAAACTAACGGTTATGTTTAACTTGAAGCCGCATGAGAGCTATCTTTCCGTTTTGGCACAGCGGCTTAGCTAATTGAAAAATTCTTAAGTACCCTGGTGTTTAGAACGAGGCCTCGGGCAAAGTGGAATCGCCTCGCGAAGACCAGGAGTTTATGCGGGAGTTCCTGTTGGAGCAGCACAATATAGACAGCAGCCGCTACTCCATGGAGCGACCCTACAGTAAGGGGTCGGTGGACTTGCAGAGACCTCTGGTGGACCCTGAAGTGTACTTGGGACTAAACACAGGCGGCACTATTCCTAGAGGCACTTTAAATTCACAGAGAAACAACGCTTCCTACAGTCAAGCACCTTCTAATGTGAGCAGTCCAATTTTTTTTACTAAGTTGAGTGAAAAGTAGTTTTGAGCCAATTGAACATTTCAAGTGAACGAAGCAAATAACCATCATATATATGCAATCTGTCTATCAAGAAAATTCCAGTGTCTGAAATAAATGCATGGCTAATTATCGTCACCCAGACTGAATTACGCTAAAGTGAAATGGTAACAGAGCAGTGGTCTCGTATCTCATCGTCAAAAAGATGAACCGACTTTAAACACGTTCTCTTGATTTTTCTAGTACATATTTGAACTGAAATATTTGAAATTGAGACTGTATAGTTTCCGTGGTTTAAGGGATCTGGAGGCACCATCGAAGACAACAACTACATAAACTCGCCCGCGGCCTCCACTCCCTCGACAGTGGTTGGGCGAACAAGTTCCCGCTCCAAGCCAATGATACCCCCTCCCAAACTTCCTCTCGCCTCCTCTCCCACACACCCCGAAGCATACCCCATCTCAGCCACTGGTCCCCACATGGGCCCAATGTCATCCTATAAGAGGGTATCGGGAGATGGTTACCCGGCACCCGGGGGATCAGGGCTGCAACATAGCTCCACTAACAGCACTGGATGTAGCCGAGGATCCGATGCGGACAATGTGTTCAACTACGAGCATGTACCAGACCACCGAATGAAACATGGTTTGTTGAGGCTGAATGTTACTGAGAACAAGCGAGCATTCCCTCCCTCTTAAACTAACCAAGTGAACGATCTCCCCCTTAAAAACATGCGGTAATTTTATAAAACCAAGTTTATCATGCAAGATGCTGAATTCTGATTGTCTGACAAAGACTGCTTACAAAAAAGTGAATGATTTAGGGGGTTGTTCACTAGGGCCTCTGTCTCAAGCTGATAACTCAAAAACTACAGAAAAGTGAATTTTCTTTTTTCTTAACTATCTGAATTTTAGAACGCCGATTTTTCCGAAAAGTTTTGACCAACGCGAACGAGCTTGTTGTTTTTTAAATTTTAAGGCGCCCTATAATTTCTCATGGTGACCTTTGTCTTCAGGGATAGATAGTCTCAGTTACTCCCGTCTGATGTCTCCGCAACCAGTATCCTCAGCTCCTCATGACTACATCAACTCACCCATAGAACCACCATCTGAGGACCCCTTCTTGTCCAGGAGCTACAACGCCGGACACCACAATCCACTCCCTCAATACCCCCAGAATGCGGCACCCTCTTACCTTCACTCTAAGTCAGTCGGGCAGCCGATGATGCCGCAAAACTTGGTTCTTAGTCATAACCCCATGTACCCGCCCAACTACCACCCCAGCTCGAATTACAGTCCAGCCACTGATAGCAACCCCGCAACTCCGATTAATCTCAACAACAATACGTCGCCCTTCTCGGGCTATAGTTCAATGCAGCCGCACCCCGCCCAAGTTGTTCAGCCGGGAATGAACACGAAAGAGCGAGGCAAAAAGAACAGCAAGAAAAACAATAAAACTTATCAAGCCATGAGCAACAATGCTTCCAGTTTCGTATGAAGTAACTTTGTGCATAAATTGTAATTGAACTTATTTATTGTCCCCTCTTCTCTAACAATTATAACAAGTGCATTTTTAGCAAAAAAACTGCTGTAATTTTATTTTTGTATCTTCTATTTGATATGGAAGTTTTATTCGCCTATCTGGCCTTTGTTCATTGTAGTTAATTTTTCTAATTAAATTTTGTGCAGTAGTTTTTTATTCTAATCTAAATTGATCTTAACTGATATAATTTTTAAGAAGAAACGCAGAAAAAATAGTCCTTGGATTTGTGTAAGTGTCAATGCACGCAGTGAGACACATGTGGGTCGTTCATTTTTTCTCCAGAAAGTCTTTAAATTTTTATCACACTCAATCTTACTCTAGGTTGTTGTACCGACCATTCAAAAAATTGGGGAGAAACTTTGTTTTCGGGTTTGTTTCAGTTTTTCCTTTTTTCCCGCAAAATTAGCTACCACAAAGAGTCATCGGAGAGAGTTGAGTGATACAACATAAAGCCTTCTCAGTCGTGATTCGAACATCAAAAAGTTTTGAAACATTTTTCCCAGAGTCGAAAGAGTTTGAAGCTTTCGATTTTTCGGCTAAATTCGAGCGAGCACGCTTATGTATGCTTAATTTAGTTCGTTTAAAATAGCTTATTTATGCTTAATTTTAATTTTACTCGTGTAAAATTAGCTCTTGAAGAGTTGGGAATAAAATGTTCGGCAAGTTTTTTTATAATTTTGTTTTGTTTTTCTCATCATTTTCTTCAAAATCTGTTGTCATTTTCTTCGTCAATCTGTTGTCATTTTCTTCGTCAATCTGTTTTCATTTTCTTTGTCAATCAAAAGTTCAACAAGTTTTTATGATTTTTTAAAAATTTTCTGATCATTTTCTTCAAAATCTGTTGTCATTTTCTGCGTCAATCATTTTCTGCGTCAGTCATTTTCTTCGTCAATCTGTTGATTGACGAATATGCTTAAATTATAGTTATACGCCAGATCCTTTAATCGCACCCCGCTGAAAAAACTACACTAATTTAAAAAAAAACTTGTGTAGTTTCTTTACGACTATGTGCTTGCATAGTAACCGAGTATACTTGTTTCCCTTTTAGTTTCATTTGATTTTAAATCAGATTCATTTGTTAGCAGGAACCTAGTTAAATTTCTTCAAAAGTGCTAAAAGCGCGAGAATAACCTTAATAGCTTTGAGGTTTGAGTGCGGATTTAAATTTATCGATTTCCCAGCACAACAAAAATTGCCTGTAGATCCCGTTCTCCAAAGAAGAGGCGAGTCGCTGAAAGATTCGAAAAATCAAAGAGCTGTAATGTAATACTTTTTCTCCGAAATGTCAAAAATTGAATTTTTTGACGGTTTTCCAACTTTCTGATGGCTGCTGATTTTTTAAGCATAAATTTCCTGTAAAGATTAGGTTTTTTAGTGTTATTCCAAGACCCAATTAAAGGTTTCGAGTTATTTAAAAAGTTATCGGTTACTACGGAAGTAAAACTGGTCGACAGCAGCTTTAAATGCAATTAATTAAAATCAATTAGGAAGGAATAAGTTTATAACAAACCGAATAAATATAGAGAACTGTCTGGAATCCACAAAACAACTAAGATCGGCAAAATGATACCGCACTCAATATCTGAAAAAAATGAACGTAGCGAAGTTTTATATAGGTCTTGGTGATTTTTTTTTCCAGGTAAAAGTCTTGAACATTGTTCACGCTCAAGTTTGACTTGTCCCAATTTGACTTCTGATTTCTTCTCAATTTCAGTTCATTCTTGTGTGAAAAGGAAGGCAAACTTCACTATCTAAACAGCAAAAGTTAAAAGTCGACCTGATTGAATTATAATTTTGAAAAGCAATTTAAATTTTATAAATCTCCCAGCATAACAAACACTTAATCTAATGATCCATTTTTTCTCAATTTGAGATGATTTTAGCAAAGTGAAGAAAGTGGAATTCGTAGAACTTTAAGGCCAAATATACTTTTTGAGAGTTGAATTTTTATTCGAAAACAAGTCAAATGCTTTCTGTTTCCTTGCGTTCATTGAGTCTTTTTCAACAGTTTGTTGGCTAATTTTTTTTTATGGAAGACATCAGCAGTCTTAAAAAGGATCTTGTAACTTATTATCTCAACCCTTCTCCCTCTATAGTATCTTGTAACGAATTTCCTCCCCTATTAAGATAAAATTGTTTGAAAAAGGTTATTATGTCAAATTGATTAATATGACTACATTATGAATGTTTTATGCTCTATCTATGGGCTCAGCTTCCATAATATATTTGTGTTATGTTTTTCAATTCTTGTAATCCGAAATAGTAATTGTATATAACATGGGGATCCAATTTGAAAGTATGTTTCTTAAATGGAGTCTGCTTTTCACCGCAGCCTTTTTTGAACTCCAGTGGAAGGCTGGATTCCTCCGTTTCCAATAGCAACGGTGCCTCGCTAGGGGGCGACTATGTTCCCAGAACCCTGCCCCCTTACCTGTCGGTAACCGGAGACACTATCTGTTCATGGACTTATGACGATGAGGCCATGAGCCGTAGTGGTGTGCAAGGACCCTCTAAAACCTCCACACTTCCGGGGGGTGGGGCGAATAACAATTATAATCCCCTGGGTGGGGGAAGTTTTTCCAGTTACAACAGCAAATGTTCCTCAGCCTATACACAAGAATCATACGTGCCTCTAACCTGTAATTCGTCCTCGGTTATGAGCGACCGATATAAAATTATGTCAGCCAATAACAACAACGTCCCTCATATGGACCAGAGCGAACGTGAAAAGGTGAGAGTACTTTGATGGTGATTGAATTGAATTGCCTGCATATTTGCACATGCATATAGATTTCTTTTTCCTATTTGGCTGCGAAAGTTCACAACCTTTATTTTAAATTTCCTGTATTTCAAGAGGAACACATAATTAAGCGAGAGCTGGAAAGCGATAATTTTTGTGGTCGCTTTTATTATGTCTGTTGTAGTAGTTGGTTGCCTTAAATTTATAAAACTGTCCAATGCAGTGGTAAATTTTATAGTACCAATACGACCGACCACCAATACAACTGACTACTATGAATATAAGTATATAGCAAGCAAGAGTGAATTGCAAATATTGGCAGGATAGAAGAGAGAATTTATGAGCAGGCTTAGCATAGTGGTTACTTCGTGAATAGCTCAATGGTAAAGCAATAGAATCAGAATCTAAAGATCGCAGGTTCAATTCCTGCTTCACAACCCAAACCCAACCACTCGCGCCATCCTGCTATTATATTAAGCAGCTGGACTAGCATAAAGCTCCACTAGCATTAACAATTGAAATATATCTTTGCATCGTATCAGGTAGCGTACATTTGCGGAGAGCAAATGTATATCTCCGCTCATTGCAGCCATAGTTTTAGTTCTCACAGTATTATCGCAACAGAAACTGATTTGTATCTTTAGATGTTAAAATTCCGCATATGATTAAGCATTGATGTAGCTCTTTATAGGGGGGTTTTTCTTTTCTGGGAATCAAATTGGGACAAATTTCATCAAAATTAATTAGATAGCTACTGTTTTTTTCTACATAGTATCATTTTCAGTAAGATAAGTTTTTCGAGGCTGTCATTTTTTGCACTGCTTTGGTTACATTACATTACGGTTTTAGTTAATGTATTGCTTTCTAGCCTTCTTTAAAAAAAATATTTACAGCATTTGAAGGTGAATTTGCAAATTGAAAATTATGATTATTGAACAGGAGTTGATTTTTAGCTTTACCATCAAATAGTTCGTAGTTTTTGCTTTCAATGGAATTAATTTTTAAGGAGTTTTGATTATCAAATCCGACGATGAAGTGAAGTGCGAATGTTTCTGTGATGCTAGTTTGTAAAAATTGGTCGTTGATTTCTTTTCATGACAATGGATGATGATTCATCCCATGTCATTCTTTCACGGCTCTACGAGCGGTGGTAAAGTGAATAATGTTCTAGTTCACCCTCATGATCATTAATAAGAGGCTGAGGTGAAGTTTCCAGTCCAGAAAATTGAAATAATTATTTTTCACCAAAAGATATATATATAGTGATAAGTCGTAAAGATTTAAACATTTTTTTCGGGTGGTTCTTTTTGTGCAAAATTGCTCTTGAAAACTTTTAACGAGTATGTGTTGGTTGGCCTAGCTATTGAGCGACGACGTACGTGGCAACTACTACCAGCCTTCAAATGAGATCCAGGGACCAATGAGTGCCCAACAGGCCGCAGGATTCGGCCCCATCACTGCCGCCAAGTTCGGAGGCTCACAATATATGGTACATAAAAATGCTCCTTCTGCTTGTCATAATGCATGATCGAGTAAAACTCAACATCAGAAAATCCAAATCAATCCGTTATATGCGATACGAGTAGCATACGTTATAAGGCAAAACTGATATGCGAAAATACACTGACCATATGAGATGAATTTGATGATGAGAAAAAATAATAAAATAGGCTAAAATTTTGATGACGTGAAGGTAAAGTTAGAAAGCAAAGATTATTTGAACTATAAAGTTAGAAAGCGTTGAATACTCAATTTCGGTTCGTCTTTTAGGCAATCGTGCCTAACCAAATGAGCCCGAACTCTGCCGAGTACATGCTATTAGATAGATCCAGTACTGGAACTTACGACTCTGGGGGAGCCGGTTCGAATCCCACCTGGCTCCCTAGCCAAACCAGTCCAGGTGGAACTCAAGGTGGTGGTGGGTTTAATGTGAATGAAAAAAATGTTGTGGCGGCGACGTCGAATGTTGCGAAGCACTGCAACAATAGCTATATAGATTCACCCCAAATGCGAATGAAATCAGTGACTGCCACCGCCAGTACTGCATCGCATGCGGAAACTTCTTTTTCCTCGCCTGCCAAGGGGAAGCGGAAGAGCTTTGACTCGGCGGCTGTACTGAGAAATCAGCCCATAGTTACTTATAGTCCCGTCAGCAGCGAGCATGCTCGTCGTTTTTCCTCAAAGGTGAACTAGCACAGCCAATGACTGTAGTCGTTTTGAAGTAGGTTTGGTTCACACTTGGGCTTGATGCACGCATAGCCTAACTGCGAGATTATGACTGCGGGATGCTGCCAAAACATAACTTCAATCTACTAACAGCAGTCTCCTAACTTTTCACTTAAATGACAGCTTCAATTCGTTTTATAGAGATTTAGAAAAAAAAACTTACTCAGTTTGGTTGGAAGGAAAACTTAGCTGACAAACTGAAAATAGTAAAGATTTTTGAATTAGCTTGCAAACTTTTTGAATTGTGTTGGTTGTTGGCTTTGCTTTTAGAAAAGCAGCAATTGAGACTCTAGAGACTTGAGTTTTAAGATTCGGTGAATTGCTCTGTTTGGCTCAATATTCCTATTATATTTTGGTTGATTGTCAAGTAGATTAGAAAATTCAATTTAGTTTCTGGCCGGAGTTATACTTAGTCACTATCAGTGGAGGTTACCCATGAGAAGCCAAAAGTCGAGCTACTGTATCAGCATCATAGAACTTTCCGACCACAATGGTCGAATGAAAAAAAAAATATATATATATATATTAAAAAAAAGCTAAATTGGGAGTGGGCCTAATTTAGCTTCTCAAACGATCAATATAAATAATATACTCGCTTTGAGTTAAAGTAAAGATGATTTTTCATCCGTTGGTCGGGACAAAAAGTAGTTGAGGTAGCCACGCGTGAAACTAACAGCAGCCATACATTATCAGTCGTGTCTTTGTATTATGATTCACAAGGGACGAGGTAATCTCTCCTGCATGTTATTTTAATTTTGTTTTATCCATGTTAAGACTGGGTTTCAGTGTATTTCGTCTGGTAATCGCACTCACCTTTCCCAATGTTGATTATATGTTCCCTCACTCTATTCTCGACAATTGCTTTGGTGTCTTCCTCTGCCACAAAAACTTCATCCAATTTTAGTCATAATTCAGTTGCTTGAGTTTTCATCGTATGAAACTTTAAAACTACCGCAAATCTCTAGGAATAGTCAGTTGCTGAATAGCACGAAACATTGTCCATACGTGGTCATTTTCTGAAAAAATAGTGAAAAAAATGGGAGAAAACAACAAATGTCACGATTAAAGCTGAATATGCTATATCACTCGGCCCCTTCTGCTGTCTATTTTCGGTGCCTGATTTCGCTTAAAAAAGACTGGAATGCAAAATTTCTCCTGATTTTTGGACGCCGGAGCAATGATAATCATAATTGATGTGGTGCTGGAAAAATCTTGAATATTTTCGGGTTTTTTACATCTACCTCTTTTGAAAATTACTAAGAAGTTAGAATATTTTGACATTTCTTTGGAGAAAAGAACTTAGTGATTGGAGATGGAATCACCCAATTAAGAAAGTAGAAACTAACGGTTATGTTTAACTTGAAGCCGCATGAGAGCTATCTTTCCGTTTTGGCACAGCGGCTTAGCTAATTGAAAAATTCTTAAGTACCCTGGTGTTTAGAACGAGGCCTCGGGCAAAGTGGAATCGCCTCGCGAAGACCAGGAGTTTATGCGGGAGTTCCTGTTGGAGCAGCACAATATAGACAGCAGCCGCTACTCCATGGAGCGACCCTACAGTAAGGGGTCGGTGGACTTGCAGAGACCTCTGGTGGACCCTGAAGTGTACTTGGGACTAAACACAGGCGGCACTATTCCTAGAGGCACTTTAAATTCACAGAGAAACAACGCTTCCTACAGTCAAGCACCTTCTAATGTGAGCAGTCCAATTTTTTTTACTAAGTTGAGTGAAAAGTAGTTTTGAGCCAATTGAACATTTCAAGTGAACGAAGCAAATAACCATCATATATATGCAATCTGTCTATCAAGAAAATTCCAGTGTCTGAAATAAATGCATGGCTAATTATCGTCACCCAGACTGAATTACGCTAAAGTGAAATGGTAACAGAGCAGTGGTCTCGTATCTCATCGTCAAAAAGATGAACCGACTTTAAACACGTTCTCTTGATTTTTCTAGTACATATTTGAACTGAAATATTTGAAATTGAGACTGTATAGTTTCCGTGGTTTAAGGGATCTGGAGGCACCATCGAAGACAACAACTACATAAACTCGCCCGCGGCCTCCACTCCCTCGACAGTGGTTGGGCGAACAAGTTCCCGCTCCAAGCCAATGATACCCCCTCCCAAACTGCCTCTCGCCTCCTCTCCCACACACCCCGAAGCATACCCCATCTCAGCCACTGGTCCCCACATGGGCCCAATGTCATCCTATAAGAGGGTATCGGGAGATGGTTACCCGGCACCCGGGGGATCAGGGCTGCAACATAGCTCCACTAACAGCACTGGATGTAGCCGAGGATCCGACGCGGACAATGTGTTCAACTACGAGCATGTACCAGACCACCGAATGAAACATGGTTTGTTGAGGCTGAATGTTACTGAGAACAAGCGAAAATTCCCTCCCTCTTAAACTAACCAAGTGAACGATCTCCCCCTTAAAAACATGCGGTAATTTTATAAAACCAAGTTTATCATGCAAGATGCTGAATTCTGATTGTCTGACAAAGACTGCTTACAAAAAAGTGAATGATTTAGGGGGTTGTTCACTAGGGCCTCTGTCTCAAGCTGATAACTCAAAAACTACAGAAAAGTGAATTTTCTTTTTTCTTAACTATCTGAATTTTAGAACGCCGATTTTTCCGAAAAGTTTTGACCAACGCGAACGAGCTTGTTGTTTTTTAAATTTTAAGGCGCCCTATAATTTCTCATGGTGACCTTTGTCTTCAGGGATAGATAGTCTCAGTTACTCCCGTCTGATGTCTCCGCAACCAGTATCCTCAGCTCCTCATGACTACATCAACTCACCCATAGAACCACCATCTGAGGACCCCTTCTTGTCCAGGAGCTACAACGCCGGACACCACAATCCACTCCCTCAATACCCCCAGAATGCGGCACCCTCTTACCTTCACTCTAAGTCAGTCGGGCAGCCGATGATGCCGCAAAACTTGGTTCTTAGTCATAACCCCATGTACCCGCCCAACTACCACCCCAGCTCGAATTACAGTCCAGCCACTGATAGCAACCCCGCAACTCCGATTAATCTCAACAACAATACGTCGCCCTTCTCGGGCTATAGTTCAATGCAGCCGCACCCCGCCCAAGTTGTTCAGCCGGGAATGAACACGAAAGAGCGAGGCAAAAAGAACAGCAAGAAAAACAATAAAACTTATCAAGCCATGAGCAACAATGCTTCCAGTTTCGTATGAAGTAACTTTGTGCATAAATTGTAATTGAACTTATTTATTGTCCCCTCTTCTCTAACAATTATAACAAGTGCATTTTTAGCAAAAAAACTGCTGTAATTTTATTTTTGTATCTTCTATTTGATATGGAAGTTTTATTCGCCTATCTGGCCTTTGTTCATTGTAGTTAATTTTTCTAATTAAATTTTGTGCAGTAGTTTTTTATTCTAATCTAAATTGATCTTAACTGATATAATTTTTAAGAAGAAACGCAGAAAAAATAGTCCTTGGATTTGTGTAAGTGTCAATGCACGCAGTGAGACACATGTGGGTCGTTCATTTTTTCTCCAGAAAGTCTTTAAATTTTTATCACACTCAATCTTACTCTAGGTTGTTGTACCGACCATTCAAAAAATTGGGGAGAAACTTTGTTTTCGGGTTTGTTTCAGTTTTTCCTTTTTTCCCGCAAAATTAGCTACTACAAAGAGTCATCGGAGAGAGTTGAGTGATACAACATAAAGCCTTCTCAGTCGTGATTCGAACATCAAAAAGTTTTGAAACATTTTTCCCAGAGTCGAAAGAGTTTGAAGCTTTCGATGTTTCGGCTAAATTCGAGCGAGCACGCTTATGTATGCTTAATTTAGTTCGTTTAAAATAGCTTATTTATGCTTAATTTTAATTTTACTCGTGTAAAATTAGCTCTTGAAGAGTTGGGAATAAAATGTTCGGCAAGTTTTTTTATAATTTTGTTTTGTTTTTCTCATCATTTTCTTCAAAATCTGTTGTCATTTTCTTCGTCAATCTGTTGTCATTTTCTTCGTCAATCTGTTTTCATTTTCTTTGTCAATCAAAAGTTCAACAAGTTTTTATGATTTTTTAAAAATTTTCTGATCATTTTCTTCAAAATCTGTTGTCATTTTTTGCGTCAATCATTTTCTGCGTCAGTCATTTTCTTCGTCAATCTGTTGATTGACGAATATGCTTAAATTATAGTTATACGCCAGATCCTTTAATCGCACCCCGCTGAAAAAACTACACTAATTTAAAAAAAAACTTGTGTAGTTTCTTTACGACTATGTGCTTGCATAGTAACCGAGTATACTTGTTTCCCTTTTAGTTTCATTTGATTTTAAATCAGATTCATTTGTTAGCAGGAACCTAGTTAAATTTCTTCAAAAGTGCTAAAAGCGCGAGAATAACCTTAATAGCTTTGAGGTTTGAGTGCGGATTTAAATTTATCGATTTCCCAGCACAACAAAAATTGCCTGTAGATCCCGTTCTCCAAAGAAGAGGCGAGTCGCTGAAAGATTCGAAAAATCAAAGAGCTGTAATGTAATACTTTTTCTCCGAAATGTCAAAAATTGAATTTTTTGACGGTTTTCCAACTTTCTGATGGCTGCTGATTTTTTTAAGCATAAATTTCCTGTAAAGATTAGGTTTTTTAGTGTTATTCGAAGACCCAATTAAAGGTTTCGAGTTATTTAAAAAGTTATCGGTTACTACGGAAGTAAAACTGGTCGACAGCAGCTTTAAATGCAATTAATTAAAATCAATTAGGAAGGAATAAGTTTATAACAAACCGAATAAATATAGAGAACTGTCTGGAATCCACAAAACAACTAAGATCGGCAAAATGATACCGCACTCAATATCTGAAAAAAATGAACGTAGCGAAGTTTTATATAGGTCTTGGTGATTTTTTTTTTCCAGGTAAAAGTCTTGAACATTGTTCACGCTCAAGTTTGACATGTCCCAATTTGACTTCTGATTTCTTCTCAATTTCAGTTCATTCTTGTGTGAAAAGGAAGGCAAACTTCACTATCTAAACAGCAAAATTTAAAAGTCGACCTGATTGAATTATAATTTTGAAAAGCAATTTAAATTTTATAAATCTCCCAGCATAACAAACACTTAATCTAATGATCCATTTTTTCTCAATTTGAGATGATTTTAGCAAAGTGAAGAAAGTGGAATTCGTAGAACTTTAAGGCCAAATATATTTTTTGAGAGTTGAATTTTTATTCGAAAACAAGTCAAATGCTTTCTGTTTCCTTGCGTTCATTGAGTCTTTTTCAACAGTTTGTTGGCTAATTTTTTTTTATGGAAGACATCAGCAGTCTTAAAAAGGATCTTGTAACTTATTATCTCAACCCTTCTCCCTCTATAGTATCTTGTAACGAATTTCCTCCCCTATTAAGATAAAATTGTTTGAAAAAGGTTAATATGTCAAATTGATTAATATGACTACATTATGAATGTTTTATGCTCTATCTATGGGCTCAGCTTCCATAATATATTTGTGTTATGTTTTTCAATTCTTGTAATTTTTTGAAGTTGCTTTAATGGCAATTTTTCAAAAAGTTTGACATTTCTCGGCTTGTTTTGTTGATTTTTTGATGTGTTAGCAAACCGCAGCCGCACTGCTGTCTTAAGTTTGCGATTACTTGGTCTAATCAAAGCCGGCGTTGACTTTTGTCTGAATCATGAGCGGATTTAGGGGGCGAGGGCGGTGGGCGGACGCGCCCCCCCCCCTCAGGGATTCGCCCCCCTATCGACCCAGAGGGTCACCCCTTTAAACTATTTTGAGATATTCATTTTTGGCTGACGGACCGAAAATTTTTTCTAAAAGAGCCTTTGGCGCCAATATATACTAACTTTTAGTGGGAAGCGCGCGCCGAAAAAAACGCGGTTTTTGGTAAAATTTTTCCAAAAAAAAAACCCTAAAATGCTATTTTAGCCTATTTGTACCAAGTTTCGCCTTCGGCGCAGAAATTTTGACCAAAACAGGTTCTTTTTAGTGCTTTGGGAAAGATGTGAAAATCGTTTTAGTCAATCTAAAAAAAAGTCGACATAATTTTCCAAAATTTATGATAAGCCCCCCCCCCCTCGAGAAAATCCTAGATCTGCCCCTGGTCTGAATACAACTATATAACCCCACTCATTTATGAAACTTTTCGTTTAAATAAGACGCATGCTGTTTGTGTTTTTTTTGTATTGAAGTTTTTTTGTTTTTAAATACAGGTTTCTCGAATTACTTATAATTGCAGTACTAATTTGCAAGTTTTCTAGAAAAACCTGGTTTTTTATAGAGAAAAAACCAAAAAAAATAGTTCCATTCCAGCCTGTGATGAACAAAAACTTGAGCAGATGACCTGAAACAGCAGGGGTTTGCCTTGATACAATCGGTATTTTTTATATCTGTTTTCATTTCTTAAACGGCTTTAGAGTAAAGGTTAAAATAAAATTTATCAGATGAGGTCGAAAATTTTTTTAAGAATTGTTTAATTTTAATTAAATCTTCGCTCCGCGGAACTGCTTGAGAAGCTAAAAAAATATTTGGAGAGCATCGTATTTTTTACGGTAAAACTGTTTAAAAAAACGATAGAAAGGGATTTAAGTATGGTCATCTTGCGTTATGTAAATATTCTTATCAAATCTTCTGATTTCAACCTTCGCTTTGAGAAACAAAAAACGAAGTAGTTGTAGTAAACTATATCGCTTGACCCCATTTGATATTTTTCAAAGGAACTGATTTTGCATCGAACAAAAAACACCCAAATACTCCGTTGCTTTCCAGCTTGGGGTAAACATACGTTCACCCAGATGATTTGATTCTTTGCGTTTATGCGATCCACCTTTCGTAAATGTATAAATTAAAACATAATTGCTAGACACATCCATTTTTTGCAGAGATAGTTTTATAGATCGTTTTTATGCTAATTCAATCGAAATCTATTTTTTTCTGAAAATCAAATAGCCGGCTTTTTATACCCGAGTAATCTTTTTCGCCGGTCTTTGATAAAGTAATTTTGTTCCATTTCGAGTCCAAATTTGTCTTTTCCATTTTCTTTGTTTTTATCGCACCCGAATTTTGAGCTGTTTTGACCACATTAGCCCAGCGCGAATTGCTTTTGCTCGTAACTTGCGAAGTATTTTTTTCTCCAAGTTTAGAGATAACCTTCATTTTTTCATTAGGAGTGCTGACTTTAGTTTTGAGAGGCGGTATTCGGCTTAAAACTGTAGCTTTTTTCATGCTAACGATCGCTGTTCCTGACCTAATTTTTTCCCCGCTTATAACGGTTATTGAATTCACGGAAACTCTTTGCGAGCCAGCAGAGTTGATATTCGTTTTGATTGTTTCTGAGTCGGCATTCAGATCTACTGAATTTGAAACTTGGTGGTCATTTTCAGCGATTTCAACTGGAGTACTACGTTTATCCGAGTCATTCGAACACCAGCGAACTGTCTTTAAAATTGATTGTTTTCCCTTTAGAGCCCAAGCTAATATTGCAGACATGATAACTAGAATAATCATTCCTGAAATTGCGGCTGCAATATAGATCCAAAGTGGTTGACCTTGGGTTGCGTTCGATGTGTTCGTTGTCGTCTTAAAGTTTGTACTGATCGGAATAATTGTTGTCGTTGTCGTCGGAATGTTTATTGGCGTTGTCGGAATATTTGTTGGTGTCGTCGGAGTATTTGTTGTTGTCGTCGGAGTATTTGTTGTTGTCGGACTATTTGTTGTTGTCGTCGGAGTATTTGTTGTTGTCGTCGGAATATTCGTTGTTGTCGTCGGAATATTTGTTGTTGTTGGAGTTATAGTTGTCGTAATTTCAGCTACGTTAGATGTTGTAGTTGGAGGCGAAGTGGTTGCAGGCACTAAATTTAAACAGAATAAACTTTGCTACAGAAAAACTAGCAGATTTAGGTGGTGGGCCGTTTTCTAAGGCGCCTTGAGCGCAAATTTGCACTAATTTTAAAGAGAGAGCGCATGCTAAAAAAGAAAAAAGTTTTGGCTGAAATGTTGACAGTTTTCATTTGTAAAATACTTTAAAAAATCGTGCCCGTATGAAAATCTACCAGAAAAGAGAAGTTAAAGGTGATTGAGTGTTCTCATGATGGAGGGACCGAATGATTGAGAACTTTCAAGCAATCAGAATTGTTAGACGCTCCTGTTGGCTACATGATTTTTGCACATAAGCGAAGTCTTTATTAACACAAAACGACTTATAGTAGCACTGCAAAAATTTTGCCGTACGATTTGTGCAAAAGTGTTCTTTTTTTCCTTTTTTAAGAAATCGGTTTTAATTTTTTGCAATACCCGATTTCGTTTCCGCAATATTTGAAAGCTCTTGTTTCTGCTTGTTTTTTATCGCTCAGTATTAACTTTGGTGGCCTGGATTTATTAGATTTCTTTGAGGTTTTTGCATTTTCTCTGAGATTTTTGAATACTCAGTTCTGATTGGCTGAAAATAAGTGAAAGTTTTTTCCCAACAATTGACCCCTTCATCATTAAGGACGCCACTGTGTAATGCTATTGGTTTTTTTTTCAACGAAGCTTACGCAAAAGAAGGTGAATTTTGGATCTGGACAGTGATTCTAATAAAAAGCAAAAAAATTGAACGCATTTTGCCGGGAAGTTGAACAAATTCGGCAGTTAACGAGTAACTATTTACACCTATGCTTGCCCTCAATTCGAGTGAAAATACGATGAGTTTGAAAAAGGAACTAAAAAAACAAAAATAATTTAATTGGAAAAAATAGAATTTTTTCAAAATTAAAATTTATTTACTTACGTTTTTACAGAGATCTTTGTGGGGTTGGTTTTGAGCATTCAAAAAAGGGTACCTGGATCTTTTTGATCGTAAAAACAAAACCAATAATAACCACAAATGTAAAAATTGCGTGCACATCGAACGACGAAGTAAATACTTTCAACAAAATTTCTAAAACAAAATGCAACAAAGCTTCCACAAAATTTTTTGAGACCCAGGTACTCCCACTAGCAGTATTCAGAGAGATAAAAGAAAACTGAATCTAGAAAAAAAATTAAATTTGTGATACGGAATCTAAGCCGACAAAAATAAGCAGACGGACGATAGTCCAAAAAAAATTCTAGTTCAAAAAAGAGGATTCGGCCCGGATTAAAGCCCCAGACCTTTGCTGTCTGAAGTTTATGTGTTACCATTACAACAGATGCGCGGGACGTTAAACTAAATTTGAATATTTTATAAAGCAAGCAATTGAATAGAAAAAAAATTAAATCTTAAAACATCCGGCAAGTAAGCCGACAAAAATTGAACAAGATCCATGAAGCTGACAAAAAATTTAATTCTGAAAAAATCCCCGTTACAAATTTTAAACCAGGAGATAAACTTGAATTTTCAGAAAATTTAGCATGCAGCAGCATAACAGCAATTGATTCAACTGATTTTGTTTTAAAAAGTCTACATTCCGATTTGATAGCGCTTGCTAATCGCAAGCGTAATATCATACTATCAGTTTAGAGAAAATTTTTTTCACTTACATGCTGTTGAGAATAGAATAATTCTACCAGAAGGTGTCCGCTGACTGTCATCGCAGAACACTACATATTGCACTGAATAATCTTCAAGTGGTGTGAGCCCCTCAAACAAAACTGGAGTCAAGGGAGAGTCCAAGTCAGCTCTACTGAACTCCTTGGAAGCAGTGTGAGTCTGGGAGTCTCCGACATGCAGGTAGATAATCGCACTGCCTAATTCGCCCAACTCGCCATGCAACAGTCTGAATGAGATTGCTTCGGGTGTCAGTATCAGCGATGTGAAGTTGAATCGAACTTTTGGACCTGAAGAGCGCAAAACAAATTTGAAAACTAAAAGAAAATAAGCCGCAAAAACAATTTACTTTACTTTAGCCATCGATATCTTTCATATGATACAAAAAAATCCGTCAGAAACATTTAACTAACAAAAAAAGTAGAAAGTTCTGCAAATCAATTCCGAAACTCAGGTTCCCACGTTCAACTTCCAGAGCAATTTTTTAATTATAAACTTATAATTAGATTTTTTAAATTTAAATATACGCAGTTTTAAATTCCAGCCATATGCAATTTTAGTTTGGTTGTGTCTATAATATGCCATGTCTATAAAAAACAATGCAGTAAGAATTGCTCAACAATTCAAAAGCAAAAAATGGCAAACACCAAATGTATCAAGTCTTTTATCATTTGTCGATTGCACGGTCATTTTCATTTCCTTGCTTTTGACTCTCTTGGTTTATAATTTCGTTACTGATTTTGCGTACAATTTTTTCTGAATTTTGAGTCGATTAAATGTTGATTAAGCTATAGGTAATTTTTAAGTTTAAAAATGAATTTTTTTGGCGATTTTTAGGTATGAATTTTCAGCAAGTTGCGTTGTTGGATGGGATATTGTTCAATGGTTTAAGTTTTCACATTTTATGAAATGTAACTTTTGAGCTGATAGAAACAGGGAAGTTGAGCTTTGCTTCTGATTCTTACCAACCAATGCATATTGTTATCGATGTTGTTGTGGTAAATGAGTCCACAACTGTTGCATTGCTCTCATCAATGGCTGAACACTTGACATCATAGATCACGCATTCCACGCCAATCCTCACAGTTGTACCCGAGTTAGAGTCATCGGATAGGAAAATGAGATCTGGTTTCTGGACATCAGTTGGAGTGAGGGTGTACTTAGTTCGAGCTGAAGGGGACGGAGGTATGACATGGCACTGCAGCTCGTAGGTATCAAATGATGAGTTATAAGTTGGCTGAAGAGCGAAAGCCTGCGCTAAAAAAATTACAGAATTTTTATTTTTAAAGCGATTGGTACCTGAGTTCAAGACATGCATCCATCAAAGAAACTGTATCTCACACAATAAAGTTTGCCTCGAAGTCTGAATCAATGATGATTGTCATAATGGACAATCATCATTGAACACCTTAAACTCTCATTTTTATAGCCATAAATATGCGTCTGTGGAATAAATTGAGTAATTTTCAAAACTCAAAACCCAACATGCAAGTCTTATAATAAATAACAAATTGTTCGCCATCTTGGGAAAACACCAAAAGGGCCAGTAGAAAAATCTCATCTTGGGGAAACGCCAAAAAAGCCAGTTGAAAAATGAAGTTGATTTACTCGCCCTACCTTTTGTTTTTCTGAACCCAATTGCAGAAATCAGCATCACCTGAACATAAAAAGACTGAAATGGGCCGAGTAAGGAAAGCATTGAAAACATTTGAAGTTTGCTGGCATATAAATTGATTTTCTTAGACCGGGAAGTTAATTGGTTTTGTAAATAGTTTTGCCATTATGAGAGTGTCCGGTTCACGATGCATTGTGCTGGCAGTCGATCTGTTCTCAAGTCGTAAATTTTACTTGAACAGTCGTTTTGAACGTGTTTAGATCTTCAAATACCAACTAATAAATTATGTTATGCTTACGTATTTTCAAAACACGCTTGAAACAAAAAAAATGATGGTCCATAAAGCATAACCTGTCACCAGCTAGAGTGCATGTAAGAGACCGCGACTAATTAGACAGAACAAGGCGTCATAAAGATGTTCGTAATCATGATTTGTGATCATAAATTTGTTCCGCCCAATTTAGTTAGAGAAAGTCATAAGTTGATGTCCGGCAAAGAATACGACAGCTATTAAGACGACAACTGCTTTTGATGGGACTTGAAGACTGAGTTATGTCTCAGTGACTGTACTCATAGAGTAATTTTAATTAAGGTACACCGTCTGCTCGTCAGGCTATCTTATTTTCGGCCGGATAGCTTCGTGAAACTTCTTAGTCTAATACCGATCTTAGTCTTACTCTTATACCTCCTAGACTCAAAAGATCTAGGGTATACTGGTTGATGCAAGTTAGTTGCCGGAAGGAGAACAACTGTATTCTAAGTTTTATTCAATTTGTTCTGATGCTGAAACTACAAGTAGTTTCAGCACTTACAAATAAGTGTAAATGTTGGAGATGGAAAACGATTGGTTAGTTATAAATTTTTTATAAGGATATTCCATCATAAAGATAATTGGTCTATAAATGCTAGTTTAGAACTGGTTCCACCCATCCGGGGCTTAGAGAGTTTTTAGTTTTTAATTGTTTGATGTAGTGAAGGACAGGTGATGTAGTTTTTTTTGAAGTTGTGAGCATTGACTTCTTGGAGAAAGGAGAAGTGTGGCTGTTTGTGTTTGACGGAGGAAGATTAATATGTTCGTGTTTCTAGATGGGTTTCGTTGATCGTGGTAGTCTTGGGTGATTGCGTCAAGACTTCTCATTGATGCATTGATGTAACGATGTCGTTAAGTTTAGAGCGAGACAACGTGCAGGGTGAAGTTTGACTTTTCCGTGTGAAGTGCCAAGTGACTAGAATTGGTAAGTGTAGTCAACATCGAGATGGCCATTGGTCTGGTTCAATAATTTTCCTTTGCTGCGATGTTGAGTCCATACTTTAAATCTTTTGAGGGTAGTGACTTTAGTCAGGAAATCGAACAGATTTGCCATTCCAAATTTGGAAGGTGATTTGGTTGTCGTCTCCTTTGCTGCTCGTTCCTTGGGTTTACATATATAATTACCGTATGTTAATTAAATTTTAGTTATCATTTGTTATTAATTAATATCGCAAAAGCGTTTTACTTTAGTTTGGTTATTTTTTAAGACTTGTTCACACTAGAGCAACTCTTGGCAAAATAGAATGTGGGTCACAAAGCGTGGTGTAGCGCGGCAGGTTGGGCAGGCTAAAGAGCATGCTCACGATGTCCCTCTGGTTGGTGAGGCCAGGTGTGGGTGTTTTTTTATGGTCTCTTTTTATGCAGAGTCTCTTTTTGTGTTCGACCTTTTCTTTCGTTCTTTTTACTTGTTTTTCTCCTTTTTGTTTTGGTTTGGTCTTTTTCTCAAAAAAGGGATCTTTTGGTTTGGGTTTGTCTTTCGAATTTTTTGTGTTTTACTTGATTGTGGTAAAACTTGAAAGTGGTCTTCAAAAGAATAATTTATCCAGTTTTAATCTGGTTTTAATCTGGTTTTATTACCGTGGGTTTTTCTTTCTTAGTCATTCTAGTAGTTTGTAATTTTGTGACGTTAGTAAGCTGCGTTGGTTATTTCAGTTTACTTTATAATTCCTTCCAACCTGGTTAAAGGAAAGTTTGAAACGTCTGAAAACAAGTTAGAGTTGTTATCAGTGAAAATTAAAACTTAAAATCAATTATTTAAACAATTCTTCGTGGGAGAGTTGTGCGATTGTGGAAAGAGTGTGTTATTTATGGGCGAATGAATGATTAAACTTCATAAAATAAGCGTCTTGTAAAAAATTTAGTATTTTTTAAATTTATCTGCAAATTTTTCTGAATTTACTACATTAAAATATTAATTTTACTGTTTTTTGTGGAATTCATTAATTTACTGCTTTGTAAAAGGGAGTTTATTGCTTTGGAAATTTATTTATAAATTTACTGCTATTTAGAGGTAAATTTTACTGCTTTCTTTTATAGTGCAATTTGTTAAAATGAGTTTTAAATTTCTAGAATAGAGTTTTTATTTTTTTATTTGCACGCGATCAACTTTTTTTTCATACAGTTGATGGTAAATACATATTGAGATCTTTGGAAAATTTTTTCAGCTAGTTGTGGGTGAGCTTTAGTTTTGTCTTTTAAAAAGTTATCTTCCATATATCGTGCAATGGCGTGATCATAATGGTTAATGGTAAATCGGTTTGCTTTTTGTGCAGTGAATCTATTTAGTGTTTGGGTTAGTCCGATGGTTGTGATTTTCAAGAAGTGCTCTGGTTAGGTGATATAATCGAGTGTGACACAATTCGTTGTCGTCTGATTTATCATATAATGGGTTACGGAAATGATAATATGAGGTCCATGAAAGTGTGGGAAACGTAAGTACATTAACGTAAGTTTGTTGATCGTTGCTAGCATTTGTTTGATAGTAAGTGTATTGCGGAAAAAATGGTAAGCACACTTGTAGGAATTCTTTTGGGGTAGTATGAAGTGGATGAACTGAAAACGGTTTGAGGTGGTCGAGGATTAGAAGGCATTTGGGCATTGGGATGTTTACGTTTAAGTACTCGGTGGGCTCGGGTTTCTTCAGTAGTGGATGCCGGGTTGGAGGATTCGGAGGATGTCACGATTTGTGATAGATGATGAAATGTTAGTGTGTTAGTGTTTCGAAGTTGTTGTTGTACGGTTATAAAATTATCTAATTCAATCTCGAGTTCTTCATCTCGAGTTCTTCATCATATTACGGGGCTAGAGGGGTTAGGTGGGTCGCTGGTCATTGGGAGAAAATTGGGGTTGCATCAGTGTAGTAAGAAGGGGGTGAGGAAGGTTCATCGAGAATTTGGGTGTGGAGTGGTTGAAAGGGGGGTTGGGAAAAAATGGATGGGCTAGGCTCGGAGTCTGCGAATTCATCTGGGGTTTCAATATTGTCAGTTGTAAAATTGTCAAATTGTGTGAAAAACTGTGTTTGTGGAAGTGTCAACTGAATCCATGCTTGGTGAATTTTTAGTGTATGGTACAAGACAGGGAGTGAAATCAGAAAGTGATATGTTTGGATAGTGACGTAGGAGATTGGATGGCTGGAAAGGGAACGATTGAAGGATCAAATCTGGCGGCTCATCGTGGGCTAAAAAGATGGTTGTTCTGAGAACGGAAATTATTGGTGTGTGGCTGTTCTATAATTTGTTCATACGTTTCTTCTACATTTAGTTGCTGGCTTTTATTTGAGTAACTAGATTTTGTGGATAATTATGACTTGTAGAGATGTGCTCTGTTAGATACTGACTTCCTGCAATTTCGTGTTACTTAAGACAATGGATGGTTATTGTTTGAAGTGTGTAACTGTGGTGCAGTAGGTGTTGTTTTTTGTTGTCTTGTGAATTATCATATGCATTATGTGTGGTTGATAGTTTTTTGTTATATTGACTTGTTTGAGCGTCTAAAAGGGTTTTGTTAATTGATGTTGAAAATATTCCGAAAAATCCAGCGAAAAGTATGCGTGCTACACTTATTGTTTGCTTACTTGTGTGTGTGTATTGCGCATGTATTATAGATTCTTTTCAATAAAGAAAAAAAGAAAACCAAAAAAGTTAAACATTGCATTTAATTTAGTCAATCTTTCTAAGATGTAGTAGGGACATCCTAGAAAGGCGAGAAGTCATTTTTCAAATTTACAAAACTAAAGATATTGATGGGTGATATATCTTGAGGACGGTATTTTTCACAGTTTAATTAGTTGTAATCTTTCTTATGTTTAAAGTATCCACTGTAGTCTTGTGTTTTGATGTCTGAAAATCCTGCGGTTTCTGCAAGTTTTCTTAAGTTTTGGTCAATGGATTGTCTTTGTATTGTATCCATTTTTGTAAGGAATTCTTGAAATTGTTGTGTGCGAATGTGATGCTGTATGTCTGATCTAGAGTAAAAACCTATTGATTGTAAATCTATATTTGTGTTTCGAGCAGTAGCTCTAATAGTTTCTGGTGAAAATTTCTTTAATGGTGGCATAAGTGGAGAATATGGTGTGAGTCGATAATATTTATCTGCATCGGGATTTAATTGTACAACATTGTGGCTATTTTCAGGTCCACATGGAACAACTGTATCCCAAAAATATGTTTTTCCTGAAAGTGTGTCAACAAAATGTAGTTTTCTTGTGGAATATGGGCATTCTTTTGTAATATCTTTTGTCTTCAAATACATATGATGGTGATACTTTTTTTCGTACATGTGTAATACCATAACATGTTTCCTTCGTAGTCGATAAAATTTGATTTATTTCTTGACAACAAATATCCTGCATAAGGTAATTTTAATACTGCAAGTGCAATTGATTGGAAAATTTGTGTTCGTTCAAGTTCACATAAGTGATGAAGCGTTTCTAGTTCTGATAGTGACATTTCTTGAAAAATTCTACACATTGTATAGTCTAATTTCATGTCTAAGTGGATTTCATAGTGAATTGTACCAAATTAGGTATTGTTCATGATTGATAGTTCTTGTAAGCGTGTACTGCTTTGTCTTGTGGTCGAAGCTTTCCACCAGTTCTTCCTGGGTTTTTCAGAAATTTTACTGGGTTGTATGAGTTTTCGTCACAATTTGAAATGTGATGTGTTGGATTTGAGTTACTTATTAATTTTCCTGACAAGATTTTCTGAGTACTGTATTTTATAAAGTGGAGTTTTATATTTGCAAGCGAGTTCTGTTTTTGAGTAGATTTGAAAACGTGTCAAATTGTTTTCTATATTATTGATATTGTTGCAACGTTGATTGTGTCGTCGGATCTTTTTAGGGTTTACTTTATCATAAGGGATGGATTCAAAAGAGTATTTTTGATGAAATTTTATCTTTCTTGAGTGTATTTTTGAAACTTGAAATGTGGTACATGTGTCTTTAGGGAACCAAACAAAAGATGTTTGTGTTCTTATTGTTGAGTCGCAGTATCCTTGATCATTTTTACAAACTAATCATCTTCCTTGATAAATTATAGTGTCGTCTTTTAAATCTCGAGTTAATTGTACTTTTTCTAA